GATGATGGGAACTGTAGTCCCAAAACAGCTGGAGGGCCAAGTTTGGCCATGCCTGTTCTAAGCAGATGTATATCGGACTTGCCACTTCATCATTTGAATCTTCTTATAGTTTCTATCTGGTTCTTTTACTTGTCTATTTGCCATCAGATATGACCCACAGAACTATGGCAGCTGAGTGAGACTTTGCTGGCTGAAATTGTTTTGGGTTGAATCCAGCGTTGTCTCCATGCGAGTGGAATGGACTTCTGCTTATTTAACAGAATCTCCCCTTTGCCAAACTTCTGGAGCAGATGTTTGAGGGTGGGGGGAAGGAGAGGAAGTGGCACAGTTGTGCAAGTGGAAGTCGGCTCACACAGCGTTGGGATCTAACCTTCATCAATTGCAATCTTCAACTCCAAACCACTGAAATCCATGAGAAATTGGCCATGGATTTTCAGACAACTAAAGTGCATTAAGAGAGTGCTATATTCGATAATACGTCACTTATATGATCTATTTGAAAGTCAGATAATTATGAATTCTTTGGACACTACACTCAGATGCCCTTGGTCTTTGTGTCCCTGAGGAAAACCTAGCTATAGTTTTAAAACCACATTTTGTGTTGTTTTTGATGGTTGTCTAGCTTTGCCTTCTGTGTGCTGCTCTGTCAGTTGTTTTCTCTTAAAAAGCAGATCATAACCTTCTTCAGATCACTACCATCTGCAGGTATTCTTCATAAAATAAGTTACCTCAGTTTGTGGGTCACCTCTTCCTTTAGACACACACACACACACACACTTTCTCTCTCTTTTGATGCTGCTCTCTGTTCTCTCCTGGCAAAAAGCAGGCCTGGCTAGTCTAAAAATGCCCAGCCTTAGATGGACATGGCATTTCAGCAATGTTCCTCATACATACTTTGAAGGGCATGTGGACGCATGTAAAACAAAAATAAAATGACTTCAGGCTCAGCTCATAGGTCTGCTTATTCTCACTGCCGCACATTTTACACGGCTGAAGGAAATTAGCAGACAAGGCATGCAAAGTGCAATAGGTCTATTTCCAGCATATTAGAATTTAGTTAAGGAGTACCTAGGGTGTTTGGATAAGGAGAATCAAATCTCAAGGCTTAATCAGATGACATCAAGGAAAATCAACCTTGTGCTTCGTTGGCAAGCCCCTTCTCTCTCCAAGGCAGAATTCCCCACCATGCCAGATTACCAGTTGAGTTCAACATCAGTGACTGGTTGAGCATTTAGCAATGCACTCTTCCACGTTTCTTCAAAAGAAATGCAACTTTCCTATGGCGTCAAGCATTGCTTTCCAGCAAGGCTTCAATACCTTTTAGAGCCATCTGGACTGCCTGGATGAAGAGGAGTGGTGGGAGCCACCAACTGGGGAACGCCCAAGGGAACCCCCCAGGGGAGACGGCTCAGAGCCAGGGGATTGGTGGTGGGACAGTGATGGGTGTTCAGAGGGAGAAGAGGGAGCAGACTAGGAGGAGAAGGTTTCTGAAGTGAAGGACATGAGGAAGGAGTTGGTAATGCAGGTGAGCTGCAAGCAAGCTGCCAGCTAGCTCCATGGAGGCTCCTTTTATTGACACAATATGCAAACCCAGGCAGATACATTTTGGGCTGTGACCTTTACACATCTTCCAGTCCCAAGATCGTGGGGTGGGACAAAGTTATTTTGGCACCTGTTTCCACCGCGTCATTTTCCCCTTGCACAATGTATGATGAAGGAGACAAAGGTCTCAGAGACAAAGGTCACAGACAGGACACGGCAGACTACTGAGACCACAAAAGGTTAGACAGAGGGCAAGATGTTCAGACAGCTGTGGCTTTATCTGTGAGGGGGAGTGTGCTCTGCACCCCAAGGTCATGCGTGCAGAGAGCTGAGTCTGCCCGCGGGCGGGAGTGTGCTCCACAACCCAGCGATCATTCCTGCAGTTTCAGAAGCTGAAGAGGTAACAGGCTTTCATGAGCAGGAAGAGACCCTGGTAGAGAGAAGTCCAGAATCAGAGGGAGAAGTGGAAGTTGGAGAAGAGGGGTAGAGGGGTAGAGATGAGGCTGGCAGTTAAAGAAGCCAGGGAGTCCCCCTCCTGCTGTGACCATTGCCTCCCAACCCTGGTCTCCTAGAACCTGCAGAGGTATGAAGAGGGCAGAGCAAAGAGAGACAAGGCAGAGAAGCTTCAGGTGGCTTGGGAAGGACCTGGGGGAGCAGGAGACTTAGGGAGCTATGGGAAGGCAGGGACCTTCAGTCCTCGCAACTGCCTCATTGGAGCAAGATCTGCTGGGAAGAGTGCTGTGCTCACTAAACATGAGCTGCTTTGATTCTTTGAATAGAGTCAACTTCACTGACACCTTGTGAGTTATTCCTGACATGCTCGTGTCTCCCGCCTTGACATATGGCATGCAGAAATTTAGGGAGTGATTTTCCCCCCTAGCATGTAATTGTAGTGATGGGAATTGCTTCATTGGCAAGGAGTTATTCCAGAAGTCTTGTTTCTTGAGTGTTCATCCTAATTGGTAGACAACTTTGGGTCAAAACAAGTGTTATCCCACTCTCTCTAGAGCATTTTCCCATCAATATCCTTATCCCAAGAAGTATTTTGGGGGGGCAGATTCGTTGTGCGGGATTTCCCATCCCAACCAACTGTAATTGTGAGGCCCGATATTGCTGGGAAGTGATTGAATCCCACCCAAAAATAGGGACAGCTTTGACATGCCCATTGTTTCTGCCTGCAGGGATGTTTCTAAAGGTTAAAGACCTCTGTCAACCATTACATGGGCATCTAACACACACTCTAGCAAAAGATCCACTCAGCTCTGCTCCAAAGGGCTTGTCTGCTAAAAGTGTGCAGAGAAAGAAAGAAGAGAGATTGTCAAACCCCAGAAGGACACAGGACTCCTTCTGATAGCACTTGCAGACCTGTTTATTGAGCACTCACATAGATTTTGTCTGCAAAAAGTTTGCAGGGAAGTTGCTCTCCGTTGAACTATTTATTGAGCATTGATTCTGATTTGTTTGTCGGGAGGTGATGCAATGTTGCATTTGAACGTGCGGGGATAACATTTGCTTGAAACAATTTCCCATCATTTTCCTTATCACAAAAAGTCAAATTTTGGGGTAGAAATGGGTTTGTCATGCAAGAGCAACAGATCAACTTTAGTTGCTCCTCCCGAATCTGTTGTTATGTGATCAAATTCCATCCCCAAATTGCAACAGTCTGGAAGAAGCAATTGTTTGTGTTTTTAAAATTACACACACACACACACACACACACACACACAATGCACAAATTTAAAAACACACACAATTGCCTAAAAAAATAATAATCTGCCTTTTACATGAGTCTTGAGGTAATTTACAATTATACCATAAAAAGAGAGTGGGGTGAGAGGATATTGGAGAGTTTGGGGAGGCGGGTGAAGGCTGGTAGCTAATTGTTTTGATGAAAGGGAGAATGGATGAGCTAATGGTTACAATGGATGAGAGAGACACAAAGTTGCATGACTTCATTACATTGCTGGTCAGAAACGTTGTCAAAAATAGAAACCTGAAATGGATACTGCCAATTTCCGAATCTAATCAGCAGCTAACATTGCATTAACAGTCATAAGATCCGGCTACCCCAAGATGAGACGGCAGAACGTGCGTCCCACAAATCATTTTCTCCCTTTGGCTTTAATTGGTCTACTCCATGGGTAGGCAAACTAAGGCACAGGGGCCGGATCTGGCCCAATCGCCTTCTAAATCTGGCCCGCGGATGGTCCGGGAATCAGCGTGTTTTTACATGAGTAGAATGTGTCCTTTTATTTAAAATGCATCTCTGGGTTATTTGTGGGACCTGCCTGGTGTTTTTACATGAACAGAATGTGTGTTTTTATTTAAAATGCACTACTGGGTTATTTGTGGGGCATAGGAATTCGTTCTCTCCCCCCCCCCATTAGCCCAGCCCCCCACAAGATCTGAGGGACAGTGGACTGGCCCCCTGCTGAAAAAGTTTGCTGACCCCAGGTCTACTCCATTCTGCATGAACTGGTTTGTGGACGACAGCCAGGAGAAATGAGTGCTTTGAGCTTCTTGCATCTAGAGATCTCATTCTGCAAAGGCCTAAATAATAATAATAATAATAATAATATCAAAAGGGGGTGTCGGGAAGCACTAAGCTAAAATAAGTAAGTGGAAAGAAAACTAGCAGCAAGCAAACAAAAGAAAAATGACAGCAAATCGTATCGTATCGTAAAATCTTTATTGGCATCACATACAACATCCAAAAGAAATCAATACAGAATTACCTCTTCCTCAGTGTCACAAAACATTTGCTAAAAGAAAGGAGGCAGAGCAGTCTATCGTCAACAGTCTATCGAGTGTTGTGCTGCAATACCACGGTATGTATTGGCAAGTTATCATTTGGGAATCTTTGCCTCAGTCCCCCCGCCCCACGTCTTGCAGTTGGTGGAGAGAGAGAGAAGAGAAACGTAATCCTTTGCGATCCTAAAAACACACATTTCCAAAGGATTAAGAGAAAGATATAAGACCCCACTGGCTCAAGCCAAAGCCCTAGCTAGTGGTGCATTTTCTCACAGTGCCCAACCCGATGTCTAGAGGACATGAGCAGGACATGAACGCAATAGCAGAGTCTGGATGGCCACCTGCCTTGCACGATCTCGTGGAGATTCCCGCATTGCGGGGGTTGGACTAGATGACCCCGGGGGTACCCACGATTCTTCGGTTCTTCTTTTCGATCTCTGGTAAGCCCTTTCTCTGAGCGAGAGGGAGACTGGCACACACAAGAGAGAGAGAGAGAGAGAGAGAGAGAGAGAGAAAGGGGGTTTTTTGGTGCGGTTGTGATTATTATTATTATTTGCTCTTTCCAGGCAAACGGAAAGCCAACTGCAGCCGAGAGGAGAGGCACGACGTGGCGGAGTGCGCCCCTCTCCGCAGCCCTCCTCTTCCGACAGGCGAGGCCGGCCTCCGGGGCGGGAGCAGCGGGAGGAGCCGCCCCCCCGGCGGAGGGAGGAAAGGCGTCGCTGGCTGGGCAGCCGGAGGAGCCTCGGGGAGCGCGCTTGGCTGGGCGATGGCGGCGCGGCGGGCGCTGCTGCTGCGCGCCTTGATCATGGGCCCGCCGGGCTCCGGCAAAGGCACCGTGTCGGCGCGCATCGTCCAGCACTTCGCGCTCAAGCATCTCTCCAGCGGGGACATCCTGCGCGACAACATGAACCGCAAGAGCGGTAGGGAAGGAGCAAATCCTAGGTGCCAACTGCCCGGGGCCCTGGGTGCCCGAGCACCCACGAAATCCCCCACGAATGGCACGGGCGCACCTGCGCATTTCGGTGCCGGGGCCGTGCACGCTGCAGGGCACCCACGGCCTCAGGCTCCCACGGTCCCGGGTACCCACGGTCGCGGGGCCAAGCTGGCACTTGGTGCAAATCATGCCCGAGTGAGCCTCACCCCCCCCCCCGCGCGCGCGCGCCTTTCTCCCGGGACTGCAGACCTCGGGCATCCAAGGGGCCGTTGCAAAATCAGGAGTGAATGTTGTTGTTTCCCCCAAAGCAAGGAAGGCTCCTCCAAGGTCAAATGTGTAGCTTGCAAACAGACTCCTCCCCCCCCCCCGCTGCCTTTTTGCCCCCCCGGCATATTGCTGGGATGCGCCTTTGCAAACTCCACGAGGAAGAGAAGCAGAATTTGTCGCTTTCTCTCCCCTCCCCCTCTTTCTTTTTTGGCTGCGTTTATCATCCTTCTGGCAGGCAGAAACTCGGCAGGTGGGGAGGATTTCCTTTCAGTGTGGTTGTTGGGACGTTTGCCCTTACTGAGAGCTTCCACTTGTACAATTCAAAGTGTTGGTGCTGACCTTGAAAGCCCTAAACGGCCTCGGTCCTGTATACCTGAAGGAGCATCTCCACCCGCATTGTTCAGCCTGGACACTGAGATCCAGCGCTGAGGGCCTTCTGGCGGTTCCCTCATTGAGAGAAGTGAGGTTACAGGGAACCAGGTAGAGAGCCTTCTCCATGGTGGTGCCCGCCCTGTGGAACACCCTCCCATCAGATGTCAAGGAAATAAACAACTATCTGACTTTTAGAAGACATCTGAAGGCAGCCCTGTTTGGGGAAGTTTTTAATGTCTGATATTTTATTGTATTTTAAATATGTTGTTGGAAGCTGCTGAGAGTGGCTGGGGAAACCCAGCCAGATGAGCAGAGTATAAATATTATTATATTATATTATATTATATTATATTATATTATATTATATTATATTATATTATATTATATTATTGTAGCTCAAAAAGCTCAACAGCTTTGGCCAACTTTTTTCAATAAAATCTCAATAACCTTGGGTGACCTACCCCCAGAAAGCTCAAAGTTGTTCCATTTGATGTTTAAAAGATGGATTTCTTAATTTGGGGTTCAAAAAAATAGGGGTTGTCTTACACATGGGGGCATCTTATACGCAGAAAAATACGGTACTGCTTGTTCTGCCAAGGCAGGAGTTCTTCTTGTTAAATATCTTGTGTAAATGGAAGTGGAACGTTGCTGCAGAGCTACTGCTAGCTTTGTAATTATCTTTTGTTTTTAAAATTCATTTGTTTAAAGTTGCTTCTATGTTGTAAGCTGCTTTGAGGACCAGGTGGCAGAAAAAGAGAGTATATAAATCTAACCCAGCATTTAGTTTCCAACAAAAGCTGGTTGAAAGCTTCTTAGAAGCTTGCTAGCAAAGCATGGAAACAGCAGTCCCGGTTGTTTTAAGTGTGTGGCATTCAAAGGTGTGCTCATTCTGGGATTCCATTTATCTTTCCTGGCTCCTAAGTGCTGCTATATCTGTCTTCTGTTATTATAGTGCTGAAGTTTAAACCCCCAACCCCAGGATGTCAGATTTCAGGACTTGAACCTGTCTCTCCAGTAACTATTTTGAAAGCACACTGGTTAGCTAGTTGCTGTGTTTCTGAGGTGCTGAGACAGTTCATAATCTACTTTAGAAAGACCAGGCTTCTGTGCAGCATGAACCCTGAGATGGTTTTTGAATTCCACTCTGTGTTACTTTCCCTTTCTATACTAAGGGTGAAGCAGCACTGTTTCTTTAAATATATTTTTATTTCTCATTTTTTTATTATTATAACCATTCAAAACATGTTCATAATGCAACAAAGAAACAATAATTAACAAAACGGAGAAGAAAAGTGACTGTTCGCAAAGTATAAATGTTAATGCAATTGTTTCAGTCTTGCAATGTGGATGTATACAGTACAAAAAGTTTGGTGCATTGTGGATGTATACAAGCCCCAGATTTTACTGCCTTATCCCTTACATACCCTTGAGTGTCTGCTGGATACAAAAATGGCAATCATGGCTCTATTAGCGCTTTGTAATTTGCGCTTAAAGGTACTCGTTGGCTTGCTTTGCATGTAGCACTGAGCCAAAGAAGCATGCTGGTGTCTACAGTTACAAAAGTCTGGTGCCTGCCAAGTGGTGGAAAAGAGTCCATGGGGTCTCAGCTACTCACACGGGATCTGTGTCCCTTTGGAGAATAGAAGACACGGCGGAGACTGTGGTGCTTTAAGAAATACGGTTTATTCAGCTATTTACACCTTCCGTCTCCTCATGCTGCCAGGAGCTAAGCTATGGTTTGGCTTTGTGTTGCATCCCAAAGCAAGCTTGTGGTTTGTCTTGCTGCTGTAATAAATGAAAATCTGCCCCTATTCCCTTTTGGGGGAAACAAGAGCCCTTATAGAGTCCTTTGTAGGTTCTCCATTGGTCGGAGAAAATAACGGAGGCCAACCAGAGAATATTGAGAAGCAAAGCAGCTGGTAAGCCTGATCTTTACTGAACTGTTGCAACAGGGTGCCCCCTTCACACGCAGGAGAAGGAGGAGGACCCAGAACCTAGGTGTGCCCGCCCTTATATAGACATTTTAAATTGCCATCCCTGGAGTCCAAGACCACCCCCAGAAACATCATACATACATCACAGAAAGGGTGTAGCTCAAGACTACCCCCCAGACACATCATACCTACATCACAGAAAGGCGGTCTATAGCAGAAATCTGAGTGCGTTGTTTATCTCCTGTTGTTGTTTATCTCCTGTCTGGCAGGTTACCTGTTAATGCTTACTTGATTGGATACCCTGGGGACCCTGGCCAGTCTTTTGTAATGATAAATACTTAGTTCCTGAGCCAGGTCACAGGCTCACCCTATTCATACACAGACATACCCTTAAGACAGGATTTGTGAAGGAAAATACAATGGGGAAGCTTTTCCATTTCCCTTTGACTTTGCAGAGAAAACATTTGGTCAGTTTGGGAGCCAAAATGGCGTCATGGCTGTTTTCCTGTGCTGCTTCAGACATGTGGTTATATATAAGACCTTAATTTTTTTATTTCCCTGCAAACAAACAATGTTTGTTGCTGCAAACAAACAAAGAGGACTGCTCTTGGCTTACTGCTCATGGTCTTGTTTGCAGGATACAAAGCACCAGCCCAGGTTCTGACATAACACCAACCACATTCGCAGCAAGCCTTGGTTTGGCTTAATCCTGCATGCGAACTCTCACCCTTTCCCCCTGCTCTGGCTAGTTAAAATCTCATGTGGTGCTGAATAGCAGGCAACTAGCCCTGTTCAAATAAACGTTGCTACCCTTTGCAAGTTCATGAAAGTTAAACATTCACTTGTATTGACTCTCAGAAGGCCAACATGCCTGTCTATGCAGATATCCCTTCCCAGTGCACCCAGTGACTTTACAGGCAATTCCCCATGGAGTTTACAACTGACGTGGGATAAAGTTAAACCCACACCATGGATGGAGGGGGAAGGCAAGGCAGATATGACACGCAGTTTGTCGAAGAAGTGGACTTTTAAAATGTAGCGCTTGAGGCCTTGTGCCAAAGAACCGGGGGGCGGGGGAAGAGCTGCTTGGTTGGTACCATAGATGTAAGGGTAGAGATTAATGGTGGCTGCTCTGGAATGGTGTAAAGCAAGATAATATTCAGGCCCAATCCCATGTGCATGCACCTGGGAATACAGCTGTGCTCAAACTTAAGGCACTCTTTTCTCTCAAGGAATTTTGGACACTGTAGTTTAGCCCTCGCAGAGTTATAATTCCCAGCAGCTCTTAACAAACTACACTGCCCAGAGTTCTTTGAGGGAAAGAATGTGCTTTGAATGTGTTTTAAAGGTGTAGGGAGTACAAAGTCCTGGTCCCACTGAGAACAGTGAGATTTTTCTTCTGACACATGTAGAATTGCACTGTAACTGCAGTCAAAATGCAAAGGTTTTAGTTATGGGAAATGAGAGAAAAGGAAGGCGAAAGAGATGTTTATACTCTTACACAGCGTTCAGAATTTTCTGCCATGGGGCCACTTGCGACAAGTGAAAATGCCTGGGAGGCCTGACAACTCCACCATCTGAAGGTGCATGCCTGGGGATCCTTGGATTTTGGCTGTTTTTACACACTAGTGTGCAAGTAGATAAATAGGTACCGCTCCGGCGGGAAGGTAAACGGCATTTCCGTGCACTGCTCTGGTTCACCAGAAGCGGTTTAGTCATGCTGGCCACATGACCCGGAAGCTGTACACCAGCTCCCTCGGCCAGTAAAGCGAGATGAGCGCCGCTACCCCAGAGTCGGCCACGACTGGACCTAATGGTCAGGGGTCCCTTTACCTTTACCTTAACACATCCTGTAGAATTCTATCCATTGTATTTTATCTGCACAATCAGAATGAATTTCAGGAACCCAAAAGTCGTACTGAAAAACCGTCTGCCCCAAAAACGGCAACTAGGCATTCTGTTTTGGTGACTGTAACCATGGCTTAAGGAGGCTTTTGGCGCCTAGCTTGTATATCTGAGTTTCTAACACTGCTCTTACACTTAAGTTGTCAGAGGAGGAACTGAGGAAAAGATATTGCAGGCAATAGAGACAATCAGCTGGAGGCAGCTCCAGAAAAAGGGGGACAAGAGATTTTTTTAATGGATCATTGGCTGGGTGACGCAGGGAGTAAAATATTGAATACAGGTGTGTTCCTAAGGCTGCAGTCTTAAGCCTGCATGCTGGGAAGTCTGTCTCCTTGAACTCAGTGGGACTTACTAAGTTAATGTTTTTAGAATAAAGGTAAGAATACACACACACACACACACACACACAAAATGGCAACGGAAAAGAAGAGCTAGTGGACCCCGCTGAGGGAGAAACCAGTCAGAGGGAGTGGCCTTGTTGAGCGAATACAGGGAGAACACTGGTTGCAGAAACTAGGTTGAAGGTGTTGAGACTGTTGAGCTCAATGGTGGGCTTGAAGAGTTTGGGAGATGGGAGATTTCGTTGAGGAAACTTGAGCCGATATCCCTCAAAATTTCTCCCATGTCACCTTTTCCTTTAATTTGGTTTTAAAAATATCAGCCATGCTACTTTAACTTAACAAGGCCTGGCATGGAAGAGACTGGAAAGATGAAGAATTAATTAGGACTAATTATTTTGAAAACAGTGTGTATAATGTTTGGAAGAGGTTTGTTGAGCTTGTGCCTCCTTGCTCTCCTCCTCCATGCACGGCTCTCTGGCAGAGGCCTCACTCTCTAGAAGAGACTTCTCTCCCCTGATATTTCTCTACAAGTGCGTCAAATGAAAAGCAGAAAATTCAGAAACAACTTTGGGCAAGTTGTGTTGTCCCACGTAGTCTTCTGATGACTTTTTTGTTGTTTTTGTTTTGTTTACGTCCACAGAAGTTGGTATCCTTGCGAAGTCCTATATTGATCAAGGCCGACTGATTCCTGATGACATTATCACGCGTCTGATGCTCAGTGAACTGAAAAACCTGGAGCAAAACAGTGTGTTGCTGGATGGTGAGAATTGGACAGTAGCATCTCTGGCAGGGCTGTGGAAAGTGCTCTCCCGCCCATCCTTGCGTGGATGGAAACTATGAAGTGGAGAGGAATTCTGGAATGTTTGGGGCAGACATAAGGGCTGCGGCTCAGTGGTAAAACCACTGGTTTGCAGTCAGAAGGTCTCTGGATCTCCTGGTAGTGCTGGGTGATATATCGATATATCGTCCCAAACCGATGCTGGTAGACAGCCGCTTCCTATGTTCCTGATTCTTGTGGGATGTGATACATAAGTAGCAGTCAAGTACAACATTCCTTGTTTTCCTAGAGTGGACATGCGGGAGAATGTTTGGTCCAGCCAGTCAAAAACTTCCTGTTTCCTCCTGGCTGGGACATACTTCCTTTTGCATGTGACTAGAGGTGGGTATGACCTTACCTGTCCAGCTAACAAAAGGGTAAGTCACGCAGCACACTCCCTCTCTTTGACTTCCTCCGTCGTTGGAGCAGCTTTTTTCTAGAAATGCTCTGTTGTCTCTCAGCCAACAGAGGACACTGGGATTATCCCCATATGGGACAGACTCGAATGTATATACTTTGTAACTAAGTCTGCCTTCAGGGATCCAACTGTGAACTGATGATGTGAGTAAACTTCTTTTATATACTTTACGCAAGAATGTGGTGTGCTTATTCTTTTAAGAGGGATATAAGGAAACTTACCAGGAACCTAATAGAGAGAGGCTTACACAAGCCTGCAACCAGCTATCTGCTGTGCGTTTAAAAGGGGAATGTAAAACTCTGCTAAGTAAAGGAACTTGCTAGCGCAATTTAGGAAGGATATTAATAAACAATATATCCTCTGCTGCCTCCCTGAACATTCCCACAATTCTCAGACTTGGGCGGGAGTGATTGCATAGCTATTTCACAAAGGCACCTGAGATTTCTACAAGGACGTTTCTTTTCTTTGTCACAGGCTTCCCTAGGACTGTTCCACAGGCCGAAGCTCTGGATAAAGTATGTCCAATAGATACGGTGATTGACTTGGATGTGCCTTTTGAGACGATCCAGCAACGCCTGACTGCCCGCTGGATCCATCCTGCCAGCGGCAGGGTCTACAACCTTGAATTCAACCCTCCCAAAGTCCCTGTGAGTGATGTTCGTTTCTGGTCCAGCACTGTAGGAACAAATATCCCCCCCAACATCTTTTTTCTGTCTGCCATTTAAGCAATGGACTAAACACTTGGGTCACCCTGTATCTTCTTGCAAATGCACTAATAATCTCTACTGTACCATATGGTTATGATTGTGCCACGAGTAGCAGTGGAGCTAAAATAATTCTTACTAGCTGGGAATGCTTGAAACTGACAGCGCTCCTGCTTGTTGTTGTTTAGTCATTTAGTCGTGTCCGACTCTTCGTGACCCCATGGACCAGAGCACACCAGGCACTCCTGTCTTCCACTGCCTCCCACAGTTTGGTCAAACTCATGCTGGTAGCTTCAAGAACACTATCCAACCATCTTGTCCTCTGTCATCCCCTTCTCCTTGTGCCCTCCATCTTTCCCAACATCAAGGTCTTTTCCAGGGAGTCTTCTCTTCTCATGAGGTGGTCAAAGTCTTGGAGCCTCAGCTTCATGATCTGTCCTTCCAGTGAGCACTCAGGGCTGATTTCCTTAAGAATGGATAGGTTTGATCTTCTTGCAGTCCACGGGTCTCTCAAGAGTCTCATCCAGCACCATAATTCAAAAGCATCAATTCTTTGGCGATCAGCCTTCTTTATGGTCCAGCTCTCACTTCCATACATCACTACTGGGAAAACCATAGTTTTAACTATGGTTGGCAAGGTGATGTCTTTGCTTGCTAGGGGTTATTAACTGCAGGTGGGAGAATCGCTCAGCATATTTGTGATCGGTACTATTTGGGAAAACAGAGTGATAATTAGCTGATTACTAAATACCGTTGATGCTGCAAGTTAGTAAGTGCCTTTGTCAGTCTGCTATAAAACAGATGAGCTGGTACAGCCCTGCATGGGTTCCACTGGTTAATACAAACTGGCTATATGTATATTTGTTCCCCTCTGTCTACAGAGACGGGGTGTGTGTGTGTGGAAATCAGACAAAAGTTTTATTGTTCAGGTGATTCCATGTTTTAATGTGGTACTGTTTCTTGCATTCAGCAATCTCCTTGCTCTATGTAGGTGGGGCCAGTTTTATTGTAATGGCCTATAGCTAAATACAATAAAATTTGGCTTTACTTGAGCAACAGCACCAGTTTTATGAGAGCAGCTTTTGAAGTTTAGACTACCTGGTTTGGAAATATAATTTAATATGTTCCTGTTATAATTTCTTTAGAGCCATCGAAACAAAATTCACCGGGTGAGCAGAATTAATCCCTTTCACAGTAGATAAAGACAGAGACCACATCCACAACATGCCACTTTAATAGTCATGCCTTCTCCAAAGAACCCTGGGAACTGGAGTTTGTTATGGGTGCTCAGAGTTGTTAAGAGACCCCCTGTTCCCCTCACAGAGATAGAGTGGCTTAACAATCCATCTCTCTTCCCAGGAACTCTTGAAATTGTCGCCCTGTGAGGGAACAGAGGTCTCCTAAGAGCTTTCAGCTCCCTTAGGCAAACTACAGTTCCCAGCATTCTTTCCCTAAATGGCCTCAGCCCAGGATACCTGAAGGAGCGTCTCCACCCCCATCGTTCAGCCCGGACACTGAGGTCCAGTGCTGAGGGCCTTCTGGCAGTTACCTCACTGCGAGGAGTGAGGTTACAGGGAGCCAGGCAGAGGGCCTTCTCTGTAGTGGCCCCCTCCCTGTGGAACACCCTCCCATCAGATGTCAAGGAAATAAACAACTATCTGACTTTTAGAAGACATCTGAAGGCAGGCCTGTTTAGGGAAGTTTTTAATGACTGATGTTTTAATGTAATTTTAATATTTTGGTGGAAGCCGCCTAGAGTGGCTGGGGAAACCCAGCCAGATGGGCGGGGTATAAATAATAAATTATTATTATTAACTTTGGGGGAAGCCATTACTGCGTAACATGGCGTAATTGTGTGCAGGTGTGTCTAGAGTAAAACGGCATTGTGCCTGAGACTTCTCCTTTCCCATAACCAGGGTTGTGATGATATTACTGGAGAGCCTCTTGTCCAACGGGATGATGACAAACCGGAAACAGTTATGAAGAGGCTGAAATCATACGAAACTGAAACCAAACCTGTCCTGGAATATTATCGGTAAGCTCCTTACAGTCATACCTTGGGTTATGAACTGTGGGTTGCGTGATTTCAGGTTGCGGACTGCGCAGAACCTGGAATTACCAGAATGGGTTAGTTCTGGGTTTCAGTGCTCGCGCAGAAGCACAAAATGACATCACACGCATGCAGAAGCGCCGAATCGCATCACGTGCGTGCGCCAACACAGCGCTTCAGGCTACGAACGCTGTGGGTTGCGAACGTGCCTCCCGCACAGATTACGTTTTCAACCGGAGGTATGACTGTATTTCATTAAGCAACTTCTCTCCCTCTCTCTGTTTCCCACACGGTTTGGTACCTGTGGTCCATGTTCACTCCTGACGGGCCCCTCCAGTGTCAGGTAATGATGCTCCTAGCTGCTGAGAGTTGAGGGCTTCCTGAGCAGGATTTCTAAAGAAACACATGCTGATTTCTACAAGTCACAGAATCCTGATCTCCTTAGTTTGTTTCTTCCTTTTCAGATCCTAGATTGGATAGGGGAGGGAGTTCTTCTGCAAGGGAGTCCTTGAAGAGGTCCTTCAAGACCTCTGAGACTTAAAAGAAGAACTGTTGCTGGTGATGTAAAAATTGGGGTTTTGCTTTTGCAGCCCAGCTCCCCACGGGACTCTGAGTCCCCTAAGTCCATGATCGGTAAGAGAAAAATGGATGGAGGCTGGATCCACTGGCAAGCAAGGCAGATATTTATTTTCCTGTTGCAACAGATTTCCCTCCCTTCCTTTCCAGGAGGAAGAGACCCTGAACAAAAGTACGCAGGAACCTTTAAAGACTTTTGACATTGCCCAACCCCCTTAGCCAAAGACCAACCCAAAATTATCATTCATACATACATCATAGGAGACGGTCTACAGCAGAAATCCTGTCTGTCAGGATACCTGATAATGGTCGCAGATTGCATTACCTGGGCAGCTTGGCCATTCTTTTGTGATGGTTAATACTTTAGTTCCTGAATCCAGGTCACAGGCACATCCTATTCCTACACAAAGACCCTTAAGACAGGATTTATAAGCGGAAAAGACAATGGGAAGGCTTTCCCCATTTGCTTCCCTTACTGCAGAGGAATATTTGACGTCACTGGGAGAGTCAAAATGGCTTCAGGATTGCTCTCCTGTCCTATACATGGTTTATATATTTAGATACGTGTGCATTTATGAATATTTATACTATATTTGAAACCTTAGAATACTTATAGCACTGGACAAACATGACTAACGTATCTCTTGTCTCTTCTGTAGCCGGAAAGGCGTGTTGGAATCGTTCTCGGGAACAGAGACTAACAAGATATGGCCCCACATCCATCGTTTCCTTCAAACCAAGCTGCCTGATATGAGCCAGAAGGAAGCATCCACCAACAGATGAAGGAAGATCCATTACTGTACTGATGGGATAGAAGCTGGTGGCCTTTGGTTAAGATTCCAGAAATATATTCTCTAATCAACAGTAGAATCATGGAGACCTGGTGGTTATTGTTGTTGTTGCAAATTGAATGTGCCCACAATGACAAATAGCCGACTTGAAATCTCAAGAAATGTCCACATTTGTAACTCTAGTATTTTAATTTTTTTTGTCCTCTGGTATGTTGATTTTAAAAGTGCTAATTTTGTATTAGATGGACCTGCATTTTGTAGAAGTAATTTAATATTAAATTGATTTTTTAACAAAATACAGCTGAAGAATCTCACGGTTTGTCAAAAGGAGGGTCCTGATCTGAAATGAAACATGGAGGATGCCATTTTACCCAATGTGATTTCAGTAAAAACATTAAGGCTGTCTGTTTTGGACTCTTAACATAGTGATGGGGTATGTGGCTTTTGGGAAAGAGTAATCCTCTCGATGTCCTTTGGGAATTTCAGTACAAGCCACCTATATTTTTATTTGTTTTAAGTTTTGTATGGCCACACAGCAGTAACTATTCCCTGGGTTGCTTACGAAGAAGATAGTAAAAATACCATAGGCCCTAATTAAAGTCAATAAGGAATAAAAACGGCAAAAAACCCCTTTCCTCCTAACGGATACAGCACAAACAGTTGACACCTTGTACTGAAACCACCCTATGCCAAAGATTAGTTTTAATAACCCAATTAAAAAGCATAGGTGAATAGAAAGGTCTTCCTCTCATGACCAAAATACTGCAGAGAGGCTTGCCTGGCCATATCTCGGGCTCCACAGCTAGAGAGCCAGGGCAAAAACGGCCTCTCAGAGCTTTATAGGTTAAATCCAGCACTTTTAAATTGAGTCCCGAAATGAATCAAGAGCCAGTGCGACCGCAGAAGAGCTGGCACGGTCAAATAATGCTCAGCTCCAGTTAATATTCTTGCGTCCCTGTTTTGAAGTTGCTGCAGTTTCCATGTACAGTGGTACCTCTGGTTACGAACTTAATTCGTTCCAGAGGTCCGTTCTTATCCTGAAGTACCATTTTAGCTAATGGGGTCTCCCGTTGCTGCCAGCGCGCAATTTCTGTTCTCATCCTGAGGTAAAGTTCTTAACCCGAGGCACTACCGGGTTAACAGAGTCTGTAACCCAAAATGTTTGTAACCCGAGGTGTTTGTAACCTGAGGTACTACCGTACGAGGTGTTGCTGTCTAAAGATGTTGCCAGAGGGTGGGTCATTATGGCCAAGCTACCTGCAGCCAGGTGTGGTTGCAACTGGCCTTATCAGTCCAAGGTGTTCAGTGGTCCAGGGGGAAAAGTAATTCTTACAACTTCTTACTCAGAAGTCAGGACTGAACTTTGCTTCTCTGATTCTAAATACTTTTATCATTATAAAAACCTTCTATAGGTATTAGCGGTACTTAGTAATGCAACCTTGTAATGCAACCATCAGGTGGGCAGAGTATAAAAAGTAAAATCATTATTTTTATATTACTATTATATCTCTGACACACTGTCTTGTAGTGCCTGAGTTCAGCATTTGTACGCTCCTTTAAATTGTGAATTGGTCCAGATTAGAATGTCTTGTTTTGTTTACACAGCGAATCCTGCTGCAACACCAGGACAGTTTGCTTGTGTTGCTGTTGTCTTGTGTGTGTTGCATGCATACATGCAGCTTGCTTCACCAGCCCGCATTGCTGCAATCCTCCTACTTGCATCACACCATCAGACTCGCTGTTTCATTGTCCTGTACTTTGAACTTTCCACCCCCCAAAAATATGTTCGTGGAGGGATGAGTAAGGAAGGGCAAAGGAGCCCTAACTTTCCAAATAGCAGGGAGCCAGAATCTGTTGCCTTTCAGAATGGCCTTTTGTTGAACTGATGCACACCCCACATACCAGGGGAATGCTGTCAGCTGTGGAGGGCAGGCCCCCAGGGCCAGCACTAGACAAGGAAGCAGCTGCAGAGAGTCAGCAGCCCCCCCCCAACCAAAACTGATGGACCCTTGCTGGTTTGAAGACGTTTAGATTTTCCTAGGTCAGGTAAATTGCTTCCAGCCAGCCAGAAAAGGGGAAAGGGACTTCAGGGACAGAGACCAAATGCACCCTCCAGCAGTGGCATAGCAGCATTTGCTGGTGCCCGGGGCATGCACCTGGTAGGGACAGGACACAGAGGGTGACTGGAGCCTGCCGTGGTTTGTGCAGCACCGCTTGCCCACCACACAGGGGGAGCCCAGCCAGCTGACACAGCTCTTGGCAGGCAAATCCCCCTGATGCCTGCGGAGAGAAGCGACAGGCCGGGCCACGCTGGGGCTGCACCTTGCCCACTTCCTTCTGTTTGTGTCTGCTCAGCATCTGAGCAAGCACTGGTTGGGCAGCCATTCAGCAAGGGAGCCAGGGACACGGCGGTGAGGCAAGGCTGGGCACCAGGGCTTCGAGACCACCGGCAGAAGGCGGCGGGGGGATATGAGGATCTCTGCGTGGGTGCACCCGGTTCACCCCCCCTCAAAATTGTGCACCTGGGGCCACAGCTCCCCTGGTCCCCCCATGCTATGCCCTTTCCCTCCAGACCTCTCTCGACTCCTCCTTGGCTGGCTCCACACCCTCTTTGAGTGCTTTTGCCTGGCTCGACTGCATCCTTGAACTATGTTCTCATTTGCCTGGATAGAGGATTGTACTGGTTTATTTGGGGGGGGGTGCAGCCCATGGACTGCACAAAGGGAAGTTACATGCATCGCTCCACCTTCCTTTGCCCCATCCATCACAGGCACACAGAACTTGACAGAGCTTAAAAGTTTGCTATCAAATGAAACATGCACTGCAGCAAAACTACACTTTATTAACAGCAAGTTGTGTTTTATTTTCAAAACTCGGACGAGACAGTCTTACTGTGAAGCAATATTTTGTCGCATTATTCTCCTATTAAGGCTTTCGAGTTAGCTGCTTCATTAAAGACGTTACAAAGCCAAACTGTATTGCCTAGAGCAGGGCTTGTCAAACCTTCCACAGACCACTGGAAAAATGTTAAAGAGGTTTTGCTGTACCACTTAATAAAACTTGCTTTGGACGAATGAAAGCAGAACTGCAGCTTACTTTAACGACGAGTGTCCTATTTCTGTTTTTCAAATGAGGAAGGTTGGGTACAATATGTCCGGTTTCACCCATGTGATGCTTTTGCCCCTCTAGCATCAAAGTATTTACAACCCCTGTCTCAACAGTATTGTGAGAAAACTAAAATGTGGCCAAATATACATTCGATTCCCGTTTACATAGAATAGTGGTGGCGGGGTCAGATCAAAGACCACCACCTATTTTAACTTGGCCCAATCTTTTCTACTGATTCTTGAATGTTGAGAGAAGGCCAGAATACTGTTGCTTGAGGGCCGTTTCACACTTTTTGTTTGAAGCTATGATCCTGTTTTCAGCTGATTGCAACAGAAACGTATTAGCCTGCCCATGTACCATGCCCCGTGCCCCAACATTTGTCAAGAAGTAATGATATCTGGAGCTTTTTGAGTGCACTCGACGACGAATCCAAGTTGGCTTGTGCATAAAACAGCCCTAAGACAGGAATGCTAAGCACGCTTCTAAAGAAGCTGTCTTGGTTTCAATGAACACCTAAGTTTGGAATTGGCGATGTTAATACAAACGAATGTATTTCTCCCATATTTCCCACCCCATTTGACACTTGGAACTACGATACCACTAGAAATCCCAGGAAAGTGCAATGTGGAAGCCTTGCTGACTGACGCACGTGCTTGAAACACTGGCAAACTTCTGATCGTTTTCAAGTCAAGCGCAATTTACAGAAAAAGTCATACAGGAAGAGTAAAGGAAGAGACATGGGGTGGTGAGTTCCATGCTACCCAGACTCTGTATGGTATGCAGATTCTCTCACTTCTGCTGGGTATTCCTTGTGGAAAAGACTCAGTGAGAATTATTGTTCAATGAATTCACCGAGAGACCAAGGCAGAGCACAGAAAGCCACAGTGATCATGCTAGCAGTATAATCAGTATCCTGTCCAAGAACTCAACACATTTATGCCATGGGAACATTTAAAAATTATGCGCTAGTAATGGATTGCTCCATTCCCTGCTTAGCGAAAGACAACTTTAGAAAGATTCCACAGGGATCTGTTATCCCCCCTGTGCCTTTTACTGAACAAGCGAGTTTCGCAAAATCCACATTGCTCTCCATTTCTGAACAAATCTCAGTTTCATCAAGAGTTCTACAGAAGTCTTGCATTTGGTCACATATTATTTCCACCTCGTTTGTAATCTTATGTATTTTGTTTGTTTATCTTCTATGCAATTTCATTTCGGAAACTAACTTAAAGCCAGACATATCCTTGTGCAGTTGGTAGTAGTCTTAATCAGGACTTGATTCCAGAATGCACTGCACCTAGGATTAAAAGTACTGCATTGCTGAGGAAAAATGGCACCCATGAAGCTTCCAAAGGAGAAATGCAACCCCAACCCTCTGAAAGTGAGCAAAGATTGCAAAGCAGATGTGCTTGGCTCACAATAAGGTTCTATACTTAGGCAGGAAAAAACCAGCTGCACACATATCAGTTAAGGAACACCTGGTTTGCCAGTAGTACATGAGAAAAGGATCTAGGGGTCTTGGTGGACCACAGGCTTAATCTGAGCCAACCATGTGAAGCAGCAGCAAAAAAGCTAATGCTATTCTAGGCTGCATCAACAGAAGTTGAGTGTCCAGATCAAGGGAAGTAACAGTACCATTCTATTCTGCCTTGGTCAGACCACACCTGGAATATTGCATCTAGTTCTGGGCAACACAATTTAAGAAGGATGTTGACAAGCTGGAAGATGTGCCAAGGAGGGCAACCAAGATGATCAAGGGTCTGGAAACCGAGCCTTATGAGGAACGGTTGGGAGGGTATGTTTAGCCTGGGATGAAGAGACTGAGAGGAGATAAGATATTTGAAGATGGCTCTCGTAAGGGCTGCCACATAGAAGATAGAGCGAGTTTGTTTTCTCCTGTCCTGGAAGCAAGGACCTGAACCAATGGATTCAAGTTACAAGAAAGGAGATTCCGACTAAACATCAGGAAGAGCTTTCTGACAGTCAGAGTTGTTTGACAGTGGAACAGATTCCCACAAGAGGTGATGGACTCTCCTTCCTTGGAGGTTGCATGGCCATCTGTCATGTATGATTTAACTGAGATTCCTGCATCACATGGGGTTGGACTAGATGACCCTCGGGGACCCTTCCAACTCAACAATTCTATGATTCGAAGGTAAAATTACATAACTTTACATCACAGTTAATGTCTGTCCCTTTAGCTTTTATACCCAATGCCAAATATTGTCCCCATCACAATAGTTTGGGAACTCTCCAGAGCAGATTGGGAGGCAAATAGGAGGGAGGAGAGAAATCCGAAGTCTAGTTTCACAAGTGGATTTCTACTGCTCAAGCAGGCGGTTAACACTGCGTAGCGTAGAACCTAATATTATCAAGGCCCATCTGCTTTTGTCTTTTACACTGGTTCCATAGGCAACAGAATAATAAATTCTAGCATCTTTAGTCCCTTGCTGAAAGTTTTCTGCTTCTGCCCAAAATATTCCCTGGTCTCTGGGATTCATAATTTTTCCAATATACAATTGAATAATTTTTTATTTCATATATACAACAAGATTATTCAAGGGAATTACTATTCAAAACACCATCTTTTACATGGAAGAAGCTTTTACATGCAAGCACTCAAGTGTTACTATGCAGTCCCTAGAAACTCATGTATTCTTGACCACCATCCCTTTTGTTCGAGGCATCCAGGAGTCTAACATTGTTTACACCCACCCACACCAAAAGTAAAATAGCTGCATTCATGATTCTCTCTCATCACATCTCACAATCTCAACTAGCCTCTCAGACTTCTCCAGTTGTATATTGGGCTTGACAATAATCATGTCCAAGGAAACAAGCGACCTTCATTTCCTTTTAACTGCAAAGTCCAGCCACAGTGGAAGGGAGTGATTTATATTTAACCAGAAAATGTTAGAGGAGGGAATTATGTTCCACATGTAGGCCAAGAGCCAAAGAATTACGGGAATGCCAGGAGAACCGCTGTTTTGTGGAAAAAGCAGTTTGTCCCCCTGACAGTGGACAGACAACAGACACAATCCCCATTGTGCACATGGAAGGCTGCCCCTTGCATGTATCTTGTTTCTTAGGAACTTAGCTATAGCCTTGTATACTTTTCCTCTACTTATTAGGCAGAGCAAGGGAGCAGAGTCAAACGAAAGAACTTATCGTATCAGATTCTACAGTACCTTCCTGATTCTGGGACTGATGCAACCCAAGGTGCTTCGCTGATTAAGACGCACTTAGTAAACATGGCTGTGCACTGGTAGAAAAAGCTAGCAGCACGTTCATGTTTTCAACACACAGACCTACATCCCTGGTTTGGCTAAGTGGAAGCAGTGTGTGATAACTGGATGAGAAATGGTGGTTTTTAGGGCTGGGCGATATCTGGTTTTCAACATCGTGATATACCCTGATGTCGTGATATATCACGATGTCTGAAATAACACTGAAGAAGGCTGAAAATGCAACTGGGCTGTGAAGGGAGGGAGGAGCGACCAGGAGGAATGGAAGGAGGCTGCCCACTTGCTCGGGCAAAGGGACTCTTGCCCACTCCCTCCCTCCCTCTACAACCCAGCCCCGGCCTCAGGACAGGGAGCCGAGAAGGTGCTCCGCCTGCCTGCGCGTTTTGCCTTTGCCCGAGGAAGTGGGGCAGGCGCCTCTTGCCTCCCGGTTTGTCGCAGGAGGAGCGACTATCCAGGAGGAAAGACGCAGCCTGCCCTGCTTGCTTGGGTGAGGGCAAATGCGCAGGCGGGTGAGCACGCAATTTGAGCTGGCGATACATCATGGCTCCTCAGCCACAACCGGCACAGTGAAGGCGGATGGGAGCGATGTCTTGCCAGCTCTGAAAGTCCAGAACCGGTGTCGCGATCTGAACTTCATACCGGTTTCAGATGCTGAATCGAAATATCGCCCACCTCTAGTGGTTTTATATACTTTGGGTTTCACAAACAAAACACAGGGGAAAGAGAACAGAGCTCAGCCTACACTGACAACATCATTGGAGATGTTTTGGTTTTAAAACTGCCAACTGACGACATGCCCTGACGCACAGCTACCCTTCCAAAATAGATTTTAAGTGCCACACTCACAACACTTAACTGAAAACAAGGTCAAATCAGTTTGGCACCTGAATGCCCTTAAATGCTCATTTTAAAGACATCATCACAGAATAATATACTTTTTTTTTTTTTAGGTACAAAGGCAGCCAATTAGTATTGATTTGTCTTCTCCTCTCTCACTAATGGCTGATAGTTTTAGCCAGTTCTGTCAAGGAAAGAAGGTTTTTTTCATGAGTGTGTCTCTAGAAAATACTGTTTTATAATTTCATTATAAGAAATTGTGGCCACTTACACATCAAGACATAAAAGTGGCAAAACAAAATATTAAAAGGTCTTTTTCCCCAAAAACAATCCCTGTAACAGAGTTAAAAGGCCAGTGCTTTTATCTGAGCCATTCAGATCTGCAAAGTTGATAGCAACCACTGATATATTGCTATTCATGATAAAATCAGATCTGAGCATCAACCATTGCAAGCAACAGAATGCTTTACAGTGATTTTTAGTATCCCAAGGGAGACAAGGGTATTCCTAATAAGATTAAAGCAGATTCCTTTTAGAATCAATCAATTGTAAACATTGCAACCGTGCAGATTTTTTTCCAAACTCGGATTCCTAAAATTAAAAAGGCAAGGTTTAGTAGTAGCAGAAAAACATCCAGTTTCACATTCAGTAACACACAATAATCCCCCTCTCCTAAAAAACCCCCCAAAACATAGCAGCACATTTTCCAACAAAAAGACAAGTGTGTTTCTGGAATACCCTCTCTCCCAAAAACAAACACTCAAAATAAAGTGCAGTACCCATAAAAATAAGTCTAGGAAATTTGCCACATTCTTCTTTTTGCTAATAAGAGAACTTGGGCTCAGTCTTAGGAATACTATACTGTATCCATCATTTTAGGTTCGTCTTCGTCTCTGTGTACCACTGAGTTCAAACTGCAGCCCTGAAGTGAATCTGCATTCTGTAACCAAGAAGAGAACAAGAAACAAGTCAGCTGAAGACAGGAACTAGACACAAAACTCTGGTTTGAGTCGCAGAAAACTTCCTGCCTCCTAATCACCTGCAGGGTTGTGAACAGTTTATTTTGCAACATTCAACCGTAGTATAGTCGCCATCCAGTCTCATAGTATACCAACAGTCTCCCTGTTTTTGTCTTCTGAGCAATTACTAGCCACTGCCCAGAGGTAAACCAGGAGCTTCGTGCAAGGCTACAAAACCGTTCTTTTGATGCAGAAATCAGAGCCGGCCTTGCACCGATTAAGAAACATGGACAGGGTAAGAAGCAACAGCAACGTCCAGGGAAGGCTGAGACTTACTGCATACATCTTCAAAGCAAGTAATCTGAGGAAATCCTCAAGAATCTGATGAGAGCCACTTCATCCAATAGTTTCATATTGGCTACCGGAAAGTTTATGCGTGGGACGATGGCTAACATGAACCGGGGGCTGAGTGGGGACAGACAGATGGTGGCTGGAAAGTTAAAACTGAACTGAATCACTCCATGGACTGGAAAAATAGAAACAGGGGCATATGTGCTATAGGTCTTAGATCAGGATGATCCAAGTTCAAATCTCTGTTCAGACACAAAGTTCACTGGATGAGTCACTATCTCTCAGCTACATTTACCTGATGAGGAAGTTATGAGGATAAACGGGGGACGGGATGACCCTATGTACCATTCTGAGTGCAGAAAATGCATACATATAATGAACCAGTAAGCTATGTAGTAAGTATTCATAACCTAGAAATGTCAGTCTGCTGAAGCCAGGAAAGACATCACCCCCAACTTGACTCCAAAGCATCTGTATTAAGGTAAAGGACCCCTGGATGGTTAAGTCCAGTCATAGGCGACTATGGGGTTGCGGCACTGATCTCGCTTTCAGACCGAGGGAGCTGGCATTTGTCCACAGACAGCTTTCCGGGTCATGTGGCTAGAAAGACTAAACCACTTCTGGCACAATGGGACACCGTGAAGGAAACCAGAGCACACAGAAATGCCGTTTACCTTCCCACCACAGCAGTACCCATTTATCTACTTGCACTGGTGTGCTTTTGAATTGCCAGGTTGGCAGGAGCTGGGACAGAGCAACAGGAGCTCACTCCATCGCAGGGATTTGAACCGCTGACAAGCCCAAGAGGCTCAGTGGTTTAGACCGCAGCGCCACCTGCGTCCGTATTAACCACAGACCAAAGCAGGAAAACTGAGTAGACGGGTTTTAAACAGCTGCACGAGGACTGACGGGTCTGGTTTCACATGGCTCATTCCACGGCCACAATTCCCAGAACAGACAGATGGAAAACGAACCTTATTCTACGTTCCCATGCAACAAATGTGCAACACTGCTTGCCTGTGATTTGGGGACCAAACTTAATTCAGTACACCTGTGGGATGGTGCTATTTGAGTGCGAACAGCTGGAAGCAGTACTGTACAGTCCAGTTATAAACACTGGATACAAAAGTCTCTTCCCTTGAATAAGTGCTAGTTTTGCCATTTTCAGCCCACAGAAAAAAAATTCTAATATTTTAGGTATATTACCCCCTCTTCTCTCCCCCAAACCATTTTAAGTTAGGAAGAGGAAACAAACATTTTTCTAGCAAGGCGCTCAAAGGAAAGGATGACAAAAGTATCTTAGGCCAGCTACCCATTCACTATAAAAAAGTTAAGACTTACCTGTGGAAAGGATGCAAGCCCTCCTATACAATTGAAATCAGGATAAAACGAAGGATTCTGAGCAGGATTAGCTTGAAAGTTCTGAGACTGTGAACAAAACCTCACTCTCGATTTGAATGCTTCAAGTTCATTTTTAAAAGCCTCCAAATAGCCTTCTTCTCCCGTCTGTCAAACAAACAACAAGCAATTAAATAGTTTTTTTCACCCTGTGCTGAGAAAAAAAAATGCAACATACAGTGACATCTGCCTGCTTGCCCAAAGGGACTTCCAGTTTGTCCCTCTCCCCCACAGCCCCCTGCATGCCTCCCAAATCTGCCCCCAACCCTTAAAAGCAGATTTTGAGGGAGAATGTACGGAAGAGGAGGGGAAGGGGAAATCCCTTTGTAGGAGCAGGTGCTTGCTCATCCCCTAGGCTGGATCTCATCCAAAGTTTCTGTGGCCAGGAAAGTTATAAATAAGCTTAATTATCAGACCAGAATAGGCATTTTAGCATCTAAAACGAACCTTCTGCTAGGGATCGAATGGATTCTTCAAAACTATTCAGCATGCTCCACCCTAAATAGAAAGCCCAACTTACCCAAAGACAATCAACCACACCAAACCTCTCTCACCACCAAGGAAATACAAGAAGTGAAGAGTAAGAGAACCCATACAACCCCGCTAAGTAGAATAATAGAAGCATAACCACCCGACCCCACCCCACCTGCCACTCTCTTCTCCCCTTCTCCTTCTCCTTCTTCCTAATTATTTAAATCAATTCATAAACCAAGGACTCAGACATTGACCACTAATATTTTGCAGATATTTCCCCACATTTATTATGCTATTTTTGTGATATACGTATGACATGAGAAAACTTGATATACTTATTTGTATAACATTATTCTAGTTTATAAAACACAATTAAAAAACACACACAAAGAAAGCCCAACTTACTTTAGCTCTTTGGAAAAATAGACGGAAACATCCTCGTGGATCCACGTTACAGCTTTTGGCCATTTCTATAATAAACTGCATTACCACTGCTTGGTGAGCTACTTGTTCCATCAGAGCGCCTTTCTGAAAATAAGGTGAAATCAATACGTAAGGAACCAACAACATATCCCCTTCATGGTTGTGTGTGTGTGTGTGTGTGTGTGTGTGTGTGTGTAGCTATACACGGCTAGCTGTAATTAAGCTTATGTTATAGCTAGGGCTGGGCGATATCTGGTTTTCAACAGCGTTAATATATCACCAGCTGAACATCGCAATATACTGATACAGTACGTTGTCTGAAATAAGGATGGAGCCATGCAAAGGCATTGGCTGGCTTCACGGGTTTTCCTGCATCGTGATTTTTGCCAGCGCCTGCTCTTGTGATTTGCTGCCTCTTGTCGGAGGCAGGGAAGAACTGAGCTGGCAAAATCAACAGGGGCTGCAGGAATCAAGAGAAGCCTTGGCTGGCTTTGCAATTTCCCCCACATTGTGATTTTTACAAAGCGCGCGCACACACACACCCACACACCATGATTTGCAATATATTCCCAGGTCAAAAATTATGAAACCAAATCATGATATGGACGTCCAACCAGTTTTGGACAATATATAGCTATATCTCCCAGCCCTAGTTATGGCTTATTGTTGCAAAGCTGAGTCTCACGCATCGCACAACAAGCCTTTTGAGAGTCAGTTCTCAGAGATAGGGAGATTTCCAAGGGTCCGTGGGGAGGAATGCAAGGTACCTACACATTTTAATCTCTTTGCAATTCATACTTTTACATATAGATAAAAATAAACCGTATCTGAAGCCATTAGCTCACAGCAGGTGTACAGGAAGATCTGCTATTAAAAACACACAGGGCAGGGATGGGGAACTTGTGGCTCTTCAGCCTAATTCCCACCAGCCCCAGCCGGCATGGCCGATGGTCAGAGATGGCCATGAACTTCTAGAAAGCTGGTTTCCCCACCCTTGATGTGGGGTAAAGCAAAAACTTAATAGGCCCATAGGTAGATCAAACTTTTATCAAGTTGCAAAGTCTTAGGTTTGTAGACAGAAATGATTTGTTGTCCCATAATAGTTTGGTTGGTATTGTCTGAAGCCAAGCAAGTTTGGCATCTTAAACTGCTGGAGTAGATTACACTGGGCAACAATTTTTTACTTTTTGAATGTTGTCTAGATTTCTACAACTGATTTAGGGTATTTTTGCACTGCTGAATCAGGAAATGGCATCTGTTTCTCTCCATCAGGTCAGGTTTACTGTAAACTGAATGGTGGGCATTGATAAAGGTAAGTACACATAAATTGCATGTTGCTTCACCATTTTTCAAACTTCAGGGCTTGAACTTCCGTTTCTTGGAACTCCTGGAATGCTCAGCGGCAGGGAGGTCTCTCTTCAGAGTCCAACAGTAGTCAGCCATCATGACTGCGTCCCAGCGATCCTGATACCTGGTCTCCATCTCTTTCATGTCCTGATGGAATCTCTCCCCCTGCTCGTCACTCATTGAACCCAGGTTCTCAGGAAACCGGTCCAGATTTGAAAATAGGTAGTGCATCTTGATGCTCATGTTGCAGCCCAGGTTTCTGAAAGCAGTCAGCATGTTGTTGACAAGTTCTGCGTAGTTTCTGGCCTTATTGTTGCCAAGAAAGTTCTTCACTACCAGAACAAATGCCTTCCACGCTTCCAGTTCCACTTCGTTCATTGAGTTTCTGAACTCTGGATCTCTGATGAGCTGACGGATCTGAGGACTGTCAAAGATGCCAGCTTTCAACTTCTCCATGGTCAATCCTGGAAAAGCCTGGCACAAGTAAGTGAAGCAGTCACCATCCTTGTCCAAAGCCTTGGTGAACTGCTTGATTAAGCCGAGCTTGATGTGCAGCGGTGGGAAGAGTATTCTGTCTCTGTCCACCAGAGGGTCATTGATGACGTTCCTTTCTTTGCAAGGCACCAATTCCTCCCACATAGGCCAGTCCTTCGTGTAATGCTGAGCACGGTCCCTACTATCCCACATGCACAGAAAACATGGGTACTTGGTGAAGCCTGACTGTTGTCCCAACAAAAAGTTCACCATCTTCAGGTCAACACAAATAAACCACTTATGCTGATCATAACCAATTTTCTCCAGCACATACTTCACCGCTTCATAGTTCTCCTTCAGTGTAGTCGAGTGAGCCAGGGGTATAGAGGCAAACTGGTTGCCGTTGTGTAGCAGAACACATTTCAGTGATCGCTTGCTGCTGTCAATGAACAGTCTCCAATCTTTGGGTTCGTACTGTGGCACTCCAAGCTTGAGCAGAAGCTGCGCAATATCTGCACAGTACACCAAGTCCTTCTCTTCCGAGAAAAAACGGAGGTACTCTTGATGCCTGTTGCGGAAGAAGCTGATGCGAGCACTGTCAGAGAGGAGGTTTTTCCCCTTCAATCTGGATGCCAACAGTTCGGCAGAGTCCTTTGACAAGCTGAGGTCGCGAACTAGATCATTCAACTCCTTTTGGGAAAATGGATGTGGAGCATCATCTTCAAGAACCACTTCTTCTTCATGTCCTTCAACACTGGAGGCATCTTCGTCACTAATGTCAGGAAGTTCTCCAAAGATAGGCACTGGAATTTCATCACAATGAGCTACAGGACGACGTGCTGATTGAAGATCAGGATTGACTTAGTTTTGACCCCCCAACTTTATGCTTTGCCGCACCAATTTATGGAAGATTTCAAGGTTTTATGACTTCAAACTGATCCCTTTTTCGACATACTCACCCAGAACTATCGGACTTGAATACTTCTTCTCATTAAAATAATCATTTCCAATCAAAACAATTATTCAACATGGCATTTTACCCCCACCAACTTCTTCTAAAATGCTCCACACAAGCGAACATGTGAACAAAAACGTAAAAAAAGACATGTGGCCATAGCTCAAAAACTTGACCTGATTGAGCAAAACCAATGTGATTTTTGGATTCAGCGCATCAGATTCGTCTTAAATCAACTGAAAAAACGCAGACAACAAATTTGTTGTTGACCAGTGTTACCGAAGAACCATATGGAAGCCATTCAAATCACACTCTTCCAAAGAGCTCAGGGTGTGACAAACAAAGCAAATGAGACAAAAAGAACCAAATTTGCAAGTTAACAAAGACATTTTAAAGTAAAGGTGTGTCTATAGCACTGAGCTGAGTGAGAAAGCTAAACAAGCAGCTGCCTATTGGGGCTTTGTAGCACCAGGAACACTCTCCTCTCCACGTGCCCCCATGGCTGGCATTAATTTTAAAAGTACGATCTAACACAACTGAATGGGAGGTGAATCATCACCTTTTAAGAGCAGCAGCAAAGCAAAGGGTGGGTCAATGCCGTGAGGAGCTGCAGCTATCATGGTGCAATTTCAAAATGAAAAACTTCCTTGGCAGATGCTTGCTTGAGAAAGCCAGTTCACAGCTTGCAGGAGGACAATAATAAACCTAGCTGTGAGTTCAGGGCAAAAGACCTCCTTAAAAAAATGTACTTATTGTTTGTGAAATCTCAACACGTAGTTTATTTGAGACTATATCTTTCCCTCCACAGATTAATGAAAGAGAAGATATGTTTATTAGTGCAGGGATTGCGAGGTCATATTACACCTTCATTTTACCCTCTGCTGATTTCTTGATGGTTCAATCTAGCAGATAAGATGACATTAACATGCAGTGATAGGCTACCGGTCCTCACCAGAGCATTCTAGGTTTCAGAACAGTCTTGATGTCTAGAACCAGATGGAAGGATAAAACCAGAAACCTATCTATTTGTACACCTTTCTCCATTTCAAAGTAGAATGGCATGTAAATTATACCTGTTCAGCTTCTAGATGGAAGCACCATAAAAGGAGGTATTGAGCTGTTTCTTCGCAGACAAGGTATGGGTGCTCAGAGAGAAATCTCTGACTGTCAAGCCATCTGCTCAACATGCCTGGAAAAACAATGAGATGCAACCAAAATAGTTCTTTTTCAAATTAAAAAATGGTCTTATGTGACTTGAGCTCAAAGTTGTCTATAAAATCACCATAAAAGTTAGCCATGCTGTGCTCCCCCTCCCAAACTATGAATTTAACAGTGGTCTGATTCCCATAGGGTTCAGCTCAGTCACCTAAGGATGGCACTAAAGGTAAAGGTACCCCTGCCCGTATGCGCCAGTCTTGCCAGACTCTAGGGTTGTGCGCTCATCTCACTCTATAGGCCGGGAGCCAGCGCTGTCCGCAGACACTTCCGGGTCACGTGGCCAGCGTGACAAGCTGCATCTGGCGAGCCAGCGCAGCACACGGAACGCCGTTTACCTTCCCACTGGTAAGCGGTCCCTATTTATCTACTTGCACCCGGAGGTGCTTTCGAACTGCTAGGTTGGCAGGCGCTGGGACCGAACAACGGGAGCGCACCCCGCCGCGGGGATTCGAACCGCCGACCATGCGATCGGCAAATCCTAGGCGCTGAGGTTTTATCCACAGCGCCACCCGCGTCCCACTACTATGGCACTACTACCATATAAAATGCAAGCCCAAGAATCCTAAGGACTTAAAGCAAATTGCTTCACTTTCTAAAATGTGAATATACAGTGCTGGTGTGATGTTACAGCTCATGATAAACAGAGGCTAAGAAAAATAACCAAATATAAGCTTACCAAAATGCCTAATCTTCTGCTCATGTTTTTGCATGAATGATTTTGTTGCATCATCTTCCGTTTCTTTCCTTTTCATTTGATTAATAAAACTCTGGCAAACAGAATTTCAGTGTTGGTTAATTATCTACCCCATCACAATACTTAGCAAGAAATTATTACAACGCTGCAATTGTTCAGGAGTCACTTATCAGTGGAAGATGTCAAGAGTATCTGTTGCAGAAGACAGATCATTCCAGATCACAAACAGGTATGGTTTGCATGGCATGTTAAGGCAACCATCGGCTCCTCCACAATCCTCTTTGCTGCTAGCACCACATCAAGCTAAGTCAAGATTTGGCTTAGCGTGTTATATGAACAAGGACTTGTGGTTAAGCGTGAGCTATAGCCAAGAATAAATCTGGGTTACAGGTCCTGATTCAGACAACACATTTAGCTTAGCTCAGCCACAAGAAGACTTAATTTGCGTGTTGTGTGAATGCAGCCTTTAGCAGCTGATCAGCAGTTTCCCAAATAACTCAGTTCGAAGAAGAAACTATTCTGGAGGGCAGGTTGTGAGGAAAATCAGACCCTTTGCAAATTACTCCTAGTTCAGGTTGTGCATAATGTCTTTACAGCTTTTATTTCATAAGAGCTTGAATTTTAAAGACCTGGCACATGTGCTATTTAAAATCCCAGAGTGGCTTACTCATTAACTCTTTGGTCTGAATTTGAATCATTCATTCGCCAGTTCAACCGTGCAAACCTAACCATGCCTACTCAGGAGTCCAATTGAATTCAATGGGGCTCTCAGGTGGGTGGAGTTTGTATTAAGTCTGCCAACGAAAAGTCAATGGGAACAAGGCAAGTTAACACACAGTAGTCTAAGCTTAGTTGACTTGTGAAACATACCCTGCTTCTCTGATACGAAATACATTGTTTGAAATCTGAATACCCACAGCAGCACTCTTCGAGATGATTTCTGGGATGCAGCAGGACAAGAACTTTTAGCAGCTCACTCCTATACTGAGTTAGATGTGCCTAAACCAACTGAAATTAATACAGTCATACCTCGGGTTACGAATGCTGCGGGTTGTGTGTTTTCGGGTTGCAGACTGTGCCGAACCTGGAAGTACCGGAACAGGTTACTTCTGGGTTTTGGCGCTGGTGCAGAAGCACAAATTGACATCACGCGCATGTGCAGAATCGCGTCACGCGCTGGTGCAGACGCGGTGCTGCTGGTTGCGAACGTGCCTCCCACACAGATCACGTTCGCAACCCAAGGTATGACTGTACTGGCAGAACTGTGGGCATTGGACAGCATTGAGATACAGTACAGTAGTAACATGTGTTACCTAACTGCTTTAAAAGTGCTCTGCAGCTTCTATGCATCTTTTGTGGCTGTGTCTTGGTTTTAGGCAATCTGAATTGTTCCATACCTTATTAAATACCTCTTTACTAACAACATCTGTATTCCACAGCTCCTGTCTTTCCTTTTGCCTTAACACCTCCTCCTTCCGCCGCCATTCTTCCTCCCTCCATTTCAACTCTGCAGCTTCAGTCTGTGCTTTGGCATTTTCCTGGTCCATGGACTCGGAGTTGTGCAACGCTAAACTGCCAAGTTTCTGCTGGGCTTCTGCTAAATTCCATTTGCACTCCACAGAACTCTTTACAAATTCCTTTTGCTGCTGACAAGCCAATTCAATCCCGTCATAAATCTGCGTTAAGAAAAAAAACCTTTTGATTATTTGGGAGCGAAACGGACAGAATTTACACAGTCTGTAGAGTGTAGACGAATGAAGAGTATTTTTAAAATGCATGCTTGCCCAAGGGACTGTATACAAAACAGATACATAAAAGGAGTGCTTTGTATCTAAGCAAAGACCTAGAAAAATGTGCAACCTTGTGTCCTCATTCCCCACATATAAACACACAGGGTGGAATGTAACACTGGGCAAGTGTACTTCTGTTCAGTCAAGGATATTTCTCCTCCCAGACGCAACCCTCAAAATCTGCTCTGGAGAGCTATAGGGCAGGAAGAAAACAAAGCAGATTGTGAGGGCATGCAGAAGATAGCATGGAGGAGGAGAAAATAATAATAATATTGAACACACTTAAGTCTTTTCTACTTGTGCAGGGACAAAATTGGATACAACCATCACAACTCACAGCAGGTCTCCATTGCAATTGTGCTTCTCAGGGGCTTAAAGCTACAACAAATGTACTTAATTACAAGGCTTTATGTTGTCTTTTCTTGCCTCTACGGTTTTATATTTTGATACATTTATCTTTAATTGTGAGGCAATCCAAGAGCCCTCAGAGCTGGTCAGTTCAGGAAATATGCCAGAAATAAAAATAAGAGGCAGCATGAGGCCGATACAGTGGTACCTCGGGTTACAGACGCTTCAGGTTACAGACTCCGCTAACCCAGAAATAGTACCTCGGGTTAAGAACTTTGCTTCGGGATGAGAACAGAAATCATGCTCCGGCGGCACGGCGGCAGCCGGAGGCCCCATTAGCTAAAGTGGTGCTTCAGGTTAAGAACAGTTTCAGGTTAAGAACGGACCTCTGGAATGAATTAAGTACTTAACCCGACGTACCACTGTATTTGCTTTGACCCATTAAAAAGTTCTGGCAAAGCTGATCACGTTAACCTGCTCCACAAACGCAGGTCTATCCTCATTCCAGGGGTGAGATGACATTTACATTATTCCAAAATAAATATCACTCATTGGGTCTGGGGTCACTATCATTAATAGCATTGAAACCTTAACATAAAAATGCACTAAAAATAGCAAGAAGGCAGTTAAAGGATGCTATTAACAACTTTGTGAATAAACCCTCGAAAGTTACTAAGCTTTTAAAAAGATAGCAGACTATACTTCTCTGCTGACTACAGAGAAGAAGAACCCACCCCTCCATAGCTATCAGATGCAGATGATACCCAGCTCTACCTCTCTTTCAATTCAGAACCAGTGAAGGCGGTGAAGGTTCTGTGTGAGTGTCTGGAGGCGGTTGGAGGATGGATGGCGGCTAATGGATTGAGGTTGAATCCTGACAAGACAGAAGTACTGTTCTTGGGGGAAAGGGGGTGGGCTGATGTGGAGGACTCCCTGATCCTGAATGTGGTAACTGTGCCCCTGCAGGACCAGGTGCGCAGTCTGGGAGTCATTTTCAACTCACAGCTGTCCATGGAGGTGCAGGTCAATTCTGTATCCAGGGCAGCTGTCTACTAGCTACAGCTGGTACGCAGGCCGAGACCCTACCTGCCCACAGACTGTGTCACCAGAGTGGTGCATGCTCTAGTTATCTCCCGCTTGGACTACTGCAATGCGCTCTACGTGGGGCTACTGGAAACTACAACTAATCCAGAATGCGGCAGCTAGACTGGTGACTGGGGGTGGCCGCCAAGACCACATAACACCAGTCTTGAAAGACCTACATTGGCTCCCAGTACGTTTCCGAGCACAATTCAAAGTGTTGGTGTTGACCTTTAATGCCCTAAACGGCATCGGCCCAGTATACCTGAAGGAGCGTCTCCACCCACATCATTCTGCCTGGACGCTGAGGTCCAGCGCTGAGGGCCTTCTGGCGGTTCCCTCATTGTGAGAAGCAAAGCTACAGGGAACCAGGCAGAGGGCCTTCTCGGTAGTAGCGCCCGCCCTGTGGAACACCCTCCCACCAGATGTCAAAGAGATAAACAACTACCTGACAGTCAGAAGACATCTGAAGGCAGCCCTGTTCAGGCAAGTTTTTAATGTGTGACATTTTAGTGTATTTTTGGTCTTTGTTGGAAGCCGCCCAGAGTGGCTGGGGAACCCCAGACAGATGGGCGGGGTACAAATAATAAATTATTATTATTACTACTACCTCTTAACACACTAGTAAACAAATGCTTTCTTTCAAAGCAGACTGGTGGGTAGAGGCTTGGAGTGATCAATCTCTCCACTCTGACAGCCTGTTGCATTTCCATGCCAGTACTAAGTTGCCTGACAGGCTTAGGAGACAAGGGATTGCATAAAGGTGAGTGGAATAGGATGAGAATGAAGTGGTGTAGGAGTAACAGGTCATTCCACCCTACCTCTGTTAGCCTGGTTTCCTTTGGTTTCACTGCCAGAAGAAAAGAAGGTTTCATCCTTCACAACTGGCTGTACTAAAAGGTAAGTAGTTCATATTAAGTACTCCCAATTGCCCTATGAAACAAACAGTACCATCCAGCAGAGTCCACTGAGTTCAATGGGGTTCCTCCCAGGTAAGTGTGAAATCCTAGGCATGCTTACTTAGGAATGCATTCAAAAGAACACACGGGGGTTTATTTCTAAGCAAACGTGTATGAAGCAGCTGCATGGCTTCAGCCCTTAGTGGTTACTTGATGTAGGTCTCAATGAATACAGCAGGTGGGCCAATTGGCCCAGAGATGGAAAGAAGATAAAGTTCCTACCAGAGAAGAATGGCAGATGAAGTTGATGTACCATGCTGAAATGGCTAAAATGACCGGAAGAATCAGAAAGACTGAAATTTTAATAAGGAATGGGGGAAATTTATAACTTATCTTAAAGACCACTGTAAACAGTTAAAATCAGGGGTTGGCAAACTTTTTCATCAGGGGGCCGGTCCACTGTCCCTTAGACCTTGTGGGGGGCCAGACTACATTTTGAAAATAAATATGAACTTCCTGTGCTCCACAAATAAACCAGAGATGCATTTTAAATAAAAGGACACATTCTACTCATGTAAAAACACGCTGATTCCTGGACCGTCTGCAGGCTGGATTTAGAACCAGATCCCATTTTGCCACCTCTGTTCTGGCAAAATAAAGGAGGGCATTTTTTCGCCCATCTGGCGCTGAAGCGACTTCAAAGCAACCCATTACAATCTATTACAGCCTAACAGGATGCAATTTCTCTCTCTCTCCCCCCACCCCTCTTATGCACACAACCATGGATTTGTAACTCTGCCTGTGCTTGGCAGCCCAGAGCTTAAAACACACAACCTTTCACACGCATGCATTGGGAGAGGATCCCCAACTTAGCACAGAAAGAGAGAGGAGACCTGAAACACAGGACAAAACTCTCCAGGACGTGGCACTTTCACAATGAAATGCGGCATAATAATAATAATAATAATCCTGTAGATAATTTTTTTTATTACGGTCGGAGACCAGCTTATAAAACACACTTGGGGGTACAATCCCAGACATTTAAAACAATGTACAATAAATTTAAAATTTATAAATACGATAAGCGCATAGACACTTAAAACTTTAAGATAAGCTACCACCGAGAGATGATCCAGAGTCACCCATGGAACCGAGTTTGGGGATTTTCTTAACGAACTAGTTTGGGTTGGGGGATGGTCTCCGCCTACAGATCTGTACACAGAATATGGCGATCAAATGGGTCATCTTATGATCTTTGCCTAACAGGCAAAGGTCACATTTTTGCTTTTCCTGTAGGTCAGCGAGCCTCACCAGCAGGGGATCAATGGTCTCACTACGTGCCTCTTCATAAAAGGGACATCTAAAGAACAAGTGCTCTGGGCTTCCTATCTCCCCCAATGAAAAGGAGCAAAGTCTCTGAGCATATGGGACTTTTTAAAAGGATCCTTCCAGGACCGGAGAGGGCAGAACCGAGCTTCTAATCATAGCTGTCAACGTTTCCCTTTTTAAAAGAGAAATTTCCTTATTCTGAATAGGATTCCTCGCAAGAAAAGGGAAAAGTTGACAGCTATGCTTCTAATTAAAAAGCAGAGACATCACCTTGCCAACAAAGGTCCGTAGAGTTAACGCCGTGGTTTTCCCAGTAGTGATGTATGGAAGTGAGAGCTGGACCATAAAGAAGGCTGATCGCCGAAGAACTAATGCTTTTGAATTATGGTGCTGGAGGAGACTCTTGAGAGTCCAATGGACTGCAAGAAGATCAAACCTATCCATTCTGAAGGAAATCAGCCCTGAGTGCTCACTGGAAGGACAGATCCAGAAGCTGAGGCTCCAATACTTTAGCCACCTCATGAGAAGAGAAGACTCCCTGGAAAAGACCCTGATGTTGGGAAAGATGGAGGGCACAAGGAGAAGGGGATGACAGAGGACGAGATGGTTGGACAGTGTTCACGAAGCTACCAGCGTGAGTTTGACCAAACTGCGGGAGGCAGTGGAAGACAGGAGTGCCTGGCGTGCTCTGGTCCATGGGGTCACGAAGAGTCGGACACGATTAACAACAGCATGCTTCTAATAATCCTGTATTATCCAGGACAGGGGGCAACCCTCAGGCTCCAGGGGGCCCCAGGGAGACGGCCAAAGTGACGAAGTCGGGGGGGGGGATAAGGAGAGATCAGCAGCCAGGCCAGGCCCGCCAAGGCGCCTCGAGCGACGCCACCGACCAAGGGAGGGGAAGGAACCGGACCCCCCGCTGCCCCGTTCCTGCGAGCGCCCCTCTCGGAGAAGGGGAGTAAGTCCTTCCGAGGAGCCTCTCGGCGTCTCTGCCGGAGGAGCGGCTGTACCTGAGTGCCTGGCCGGGGGAGGAGGTCTTCCTGCTGCCCCGCGCGCAGGTCCCGGGAGCGCGGCAGCCACAGAGCCATCCCTGCCCCGTCTCAGCCTGGACTTCCGGCTTCTACTGCAAGGTCCCACCGGAAGTTCCTGCGGGAGGCACTTCCGGCAACAACGCCGCGTCGCCGGCTTATGAGCTCACCGCGCCGCTGCCTCGTCCCGCCCCCTCTCCACGGTCGCGTCACGTGAAGGGGACAAAGCTGTCCGGGCGGTTGCTAGGAGACAGGGAGGGAAGCCTCGCGCTTGCGCGGTGGGCTGAGCCGGAGGCGCCGGCTCTTCTGGGCAGCTCAGGCAGCGTCTGCCGCTGCTATTACGTATTACTATTATTATTATTACAATTACATAGGTTCATAGAGTGAGAAGGGTCCACGAGAGTCATCTAGTCTAACCCCTCGCAATGCAGGAATTTTTCACCCAGCGTGGGACTCGAACCCACAACTCTGAGATGAAGTGTCTCATGCTTCCACTGACAGAGCTATTCAGCAGCCCATTAATAACTTATTATTATTATCACCAGTGCTTTTTCTGGGGGGACATAGGGGCACGCATACCCCTAAACATTTTGTGAATCTTTGCACTTTTGTCCATTTACTGTATTTATTTCCCCCGATTTGAACTATAAAATTGTGATTTTCTTGATTCCAAATGAGAGCACTCCTAAACATTTTTTTTAAAAAAGCACTGATTATTACTATTACTACATAGGTTCATAGAGTTGGAAGGGGCCACGAGGGTCATCTTGTCCAACCCCCTGTAATGGAGGAATCTTTCACCCCTCGTGGGACTCGAACCCACAACCCTGAGATGATGAAGCCTCTCATGCTCTACCGAAGGAGCTATTCAGCAGCCCATTAACATCATCATCATCATCATGATGTGCTAGGGCAAAAGCTTTCCAGCTTGCAGGGCTCGGGGAGAAGGCAGAAAGGGCCACCTGCCGGCGGGACCGGTTGTTCCATTGCACCAGTTTCCCGGCTAGGACATTTTTGCTCGCGAGTAAACCCAGCCCCCGCCGTCAGAGAGAGAGAGGCGCCTGGGGGAAAGGACCCGAGGCCCCTCCTCCCCTCCCCTTCCCTCCCCGCGGCGAGCGAGGGACGCTGGAACGTTGGCGTCGCCATGGCAACACGACGCTTTCTCTCCCCCCCCCCTCCCCGCACGGCGACGGTGTGGCTGCCCTGGCGGAAGGAAGAGCCCCTCTCGCGCCCCGGAGGATGCCGCTCAAGGTGGTGGTGGAGCTACAGATCCATGCGGTGAGGCCGGCAGGAGAGGGGGGCTGTGCAGGGCCAGATGCGGAGAACCTCAAAAATGTAGCTGCGAGATCCTATCAACACGTGTTTGTGTGCATACACGTATATACCTTGTCTACATGAATGTATATATGTGTGTGTGTGTGTGTGTGTGTGTGTGTGTTTGTGGTGAGGATGCCACTGGAGGTGGAGCTGCAGATCCACACGCCAAGGCGGGCAGGAGAGGGGAGGACCCCAGAAATATAGCCCCCCCCTCTATATAATATGTGTGTATGCATGTATATACATTGTGTGTGTGTACACATACACAGTTGCCAACATAGCAGTTCGAACGCACTTCAAAGTGCAAGTAGATAAATAGGTACCGCTCCGGCGGGAAGGTAAACAGCGTTGCTCTGGTTCGCCAGAAGCGGCTTAGTCATGCTGGCCACATGACCCGGAAGCTGTATGCCGGCTCCCTCGGCCAATAAAGCGAGATAAGCGCCGCAACTCCAGAATCGGCTACGACTGGACCTAATGGTCAGGGGTCCCTTTTCCTTTACCTTTACACATACACAGTGCTTTTTTAAAAAAAGGTGCCGTACTCACCCTGAAGTAGTTACAATCAGTGCCACACTTTTAACATTTGAAAAAAAAGGTGCCAGCACTGCATACTTTTGAGTAACCCCAGGAAAAAAGCACTTATGTATGTATGTGTGTGTTTGTGTGCCTGTGTGTGTGTGCATCTATGTATATGTGTGTGTCTGTCTATCTATCTATCTATCTATCTATCATCTGCTCTTCCCTTTTTCTTTTTTCCTTTTTGCCCCTAGTTGGGAGAGGGAAAGTTGCAGTGGAAGTGAAGGCGGGAAGCCAAAGCCCTGTTTCTTTCTGCAAAAAACGCTAACTTATTTCCAAGGGAGAGAAGCCAGAGTTCAACCTCGATCGCGATGCCGTTAGGATTTGCCGTTCCCCAGTCCAGTTGGGGAGCGGGTGATTGCCTGTGCTCTACACATGCCCAGAGGTTTTCTCATCTATATGTGTGCTGTTTGAACTGTGTAAAGTTTCATCATCCAAGAACATTTGAAATATAGAGGAGAAGGCCCAGGGCGGGGAGGAATCAGCAGAAAAACGGGGAGCTCCTTCATTTTTCCACATTCCACCCCACCCTGGCCTTCACGTCTCTAATTCACAATCAGTCTTTGGTTACAATTGTGGGGTTCTCTGCACTGTGGTTTAGAGTAGGGCTGGATCTCAGGTTATAGTTTAAAGAGAAGCCAGCAGCGTAGAATGTAAACTTACTTTCCAAGCCAGAATATGTTATTGTTCTTACTTGTCCAAGATTCACTGATGGAGAAAAGATCACTGGACATTGTGTTCACTGTTTGAGCTCCCCCATCATGGCATCACCATTCATATTAATGGTGAGAAGGGTTCCTGGCAAAGTTTTGTGCGCTAGCATGACGTATGGAGCTGTGGGTTAAACCACTGAGCCTAGGACTTGCTGATCAGAAGGTCGGCGGTTCGAATCCCCACGACAGGGTGAGCTCCCGTTGCTCTGTCCCTGCTCCTGCCAACCTAGCAGTTCAAAAGCACGTCAAAGTGCAAGTAGATAAACAGGTCCCGCTCCGGCGGGAAAGTAAACAGCGTTTCCGTGCGCTGCTCTGGTTCACCAGAAGTGGCTTAGTCATGCTGGCCACATGACCCAGAAGCTGTACACCAGCTCCCTCAGCCAATGAAGCGAGATGAGCGCTGCAACCCCAGAGTTGGCCATGACTAGACCTAATGATCAGGGGTCCCTTTACCTTTTAGACCAAGTAAATGTTTGAGTGAATTCTGGGTCTATGATGGTGGTGCTCGGAGCTGGCTCAACACATTTTGCTGGCTGAGGTGGAACAGCAAACACTGCCTGCCCCATTAAGTTATATATTTTGGCAACTGAGTTAGAGAATCCCATGAGCAACTCTTCTGCTTACCCAGTGGCAGTAAAAATGATCATGCATGGAGTAACTAGCCATTTGCTTCCCTTTATAACCCTCAAAATTAGATGCCCGAGGCGGCTGCTATTTGTCATGCTATGTCTGTTCATCATTTTGCAGTTGGTGGCAAACAATCACGATGCACCTTCTGCTTCTGTCTCCTTTCAACTGTTCTGTTCTTCTCTCCCATCACAGGTCTCTTGTCCTGGTGTGTACTTGACGGACAAGAATGATGTTTATCTGCATGTTTGCATCCTGGGCCAATGCAAGGAAACTGAGAGCCTTCGACCCATCTTCCCTCTCTTGTTCCACGAGAAAATGTGGTTTGAAAAGGTAACCTAGGATTGTGTCTTGCAAAATCCTTGCCTAAGATGTATTTATTCTCTCCCCCCCTTTTTTTGAACCTAAGCACTCGTCTGTATCAGGTCGAGAGTCTGGCTGAAGGCCAAAAGCTCTGCATAGTCTTGGACACAACAAACGTAAATGGGTGAGGGGATTGTGTATGTTTTATCTCCATTTTGCATTTGCCATAGTCAAAAATGCCATGCTTGTTAGGAGGCAAGTATTGTTAACTGTGAGATGCAAGGCTCAGAGGCATCCTGAGGGAATTAACATGCTGCTGCCCAGTGCTACTCATTTCATCCCATAATAAGCCTTCTGGTAGGGGTTCAAGGCAGCACAGGGCAACACCTGACACATGACCCTCCCTCCCCTCAAACCAGCCCTGTTCGGTGGGATTGAAGATAACATCCATACTCTTCTAGCAGGGCTTGATCTTGATCAGTGGCACTATCAATTTAGTTCACAAAATCTATACGCATCTTGCCCATATATTGGAGTATTTTGGTGCTCTTTTCTTGGAATATAGTTGATGAGTGACTGCAGGTTTGTTTGTTTTATCAAGGAATCTGAAAGTCATAAGCACACTTTTTAATTCTTGAGACTACTGTTCTTTGGCTTAATGCAGTAGAAACAAAATAGAAAAAGGGCATTTCCTTCCAACGATTGTTCTTTAATATACTGTATTGTGGGATATATAGAACTTTTGCAGGACAAAAGCATATAAATCTTTGGAAGTGCAGTAATATGTACATTTCTTTAAATTTAATCAGCTGATTGATCAATCTGTTAAAACTGTGTGTGGTATTCAACTAGGTTTTACTCAAAGAAGACCGATTGAAATTAAAGGACGTTGTCATATTCATTAATTTCAGTGGGTTTATCCTGGGCACAACTTTGTGGTTTTAATCACATGGGAAATGATTTAATTGGTTAATAGCTTTAATAACTTTATCCTTGTCTTTGCCTTCGCTTCCGTTCTGTAGGTATTTGAAAAAGCTACAGATCCTGTTGCTGTTGTAGAACTGCTAGAAAGTAAGTTTTCCTTTCTGTTATCTGTTGCTGAAGGTACTGTAATTACTGCAGGTCCATGATGATATTTCCAGTGGCTTGGTTCAGATGCAATGGAAAACTATGGTTTCCTTCTATGTGAATGGGCTACACAGTCCTCAGCCTTGCACCGGCAACCCCCTCCCAACTTCCTCTTTCATGTAGCAGAGGATAAAAGTGAAAGCGTCTCCTTTAAACTAAGCATAGTTCCCTGTGGCATCTAAACTTGGGTAGCCGTGGTTGGAGAACTGTGGTTGCTCTAAAACTGGAAACGGAAGCTTTTGATCCCAGACACGAAGGAGAAGAGTGGAGAAGGAGGTGCATGCAAACCTTGGTGTGGCTTGTTCTCCTACCAGGAAACAATGGTTTCACATTGTGTCGGGTCCAACCAGTATGTCATGCTTCATATTTATTTCCCAGAAAAGCTTGTGGGTGATGTATAGTTTTTGACCATTCAGGAGGGGCTTCTTCTTTTCACCATAACAACCGGGGAATATAGTGTTATGAGTTTCGGGGGAGGGTAGTCTGTATGCCTTTTTTTGTGGTGTTTCAAATCTATATGATTTCCACAATGCCCCAGGTAAATGGGGGGTTGCCTGTATATTCAAAACCCATTGAGTTCAATGGGGGTAGAATTGCCAGAGTCTACCCCCCCGAAGCCTGCCTCCTTTCCATCCCCTTTTATATTTTACATTTTTATTTTCCCCATAAAGTTGAACATGCACAAGTTGCAGGCTTAATGCATAGTTTAAATATTACATGTCTCTCTCATGAATAACATAGTTTGTTCCTCTTCTTTTAGGAAATGTAACAAAGTTCCGATTAGTCGAAGTGGTACCTTCAGGTAAACAGGAGAAACCTATTCTTCACAACTTCCATAAACTCTGCAATGAAAGAATGAATCTTGGATGATGTTGGGGTTAGAGATGCTGATTTCTTTTTCCCCGTAGTGTTTCTGTATCTTCTGTTATTACTTAGGAGGAGGTGATACAAGACAAAATATATATGCCATTTTAATTCTGGAAAAATATGTCCGTCTGTGCAACATTCATGGAAATTAGCTGGCTGGTGGCATTTTGTTGTACAGGAGAACTGAACACATGGTGGCAGAATAAGCCTTCTATAAGATTCAGTCCTAAATTGCTTAGAAAGCTTGTGGTGTCATCTTGTTTAGCTGTTTGTGTGATCAGTTTGCTCTCAGAAGGGCTTTCAGGTGATGAGGAAAGACCCTTTTAATTCTTAAAACTGTACTCATGTCACTGCATGCAATTTATTTATTTTTTAATGGAATTTGGCAAAACTCAAAAATATTTTAAACCTAATTCTTCCCATTCCCCACTGCTCCATATATATCTTTTCATTTAACTGCTAGTATGATCAACTACACCTTGTGAGAGCCTTTAAAAATTCACAACGATTAACTGATCCAACGGTAGGAAAAACTCAGTAACCTATGCAGTTCATAGCTGTTGTAGTTTTCATCTATGAAGATGAGGGTGAAAATTTCAAGATCTTTGTTGTCAGGGCTCTTTTTCAGCCGGAACCCACCAAAACTCCTTAACTATAGGAGCTAGTTCCAAGTTATGAAAATCTAAGAAAAAAATTAATAATAATAATGGGGAAAAACCCCCTATAGAAGAAGAAGAAGAGTTTGGATTTGATATCCCGCCTTTCACTCCCCTTCAGGAGTCTCAAAGCGGCTAACATTCTCCTTTCCCTTCCTCCCCCACAACAAACACTCTGTGAGGTGAGTGGGGCTGAGAGACTTCAAAGAAGTGTGACTGGCCCAAGGTCACCCAGCAGCTGCATGTGGAGGAGCGGAGACACGAACCTGGTTCCCCAGATTACGAGACTACCGCTCTTAACCACTACACCACACTGGCTATAGGAGTTAGTTCCCACAGCACAACACAAATTCTAGTGGCTGAATTTCCTCTTACACCTCCTCCTCCTCCTCCTAATCCGGCTCACGGAATTTCTGCAGATGTGTTGTACACTTTGCAACAGAATGTTTCTTGGAGAACCGTGAGCAATGAAAATGGCCTTTTTTGACTTGCGCTGTGAAGAGGGCTTGTGATCCTTTGTGGGGGACAGGTTACACTGTTTGCTTGCATTATCCTAGCACTCTTTCTCCTTTTGTTTCACATTTCAGGGAAAGGTGAGCTTGCATTTTATGAAGCGAATACTCGAGGTTTTCTGTTTCCAGAGCCTAAACTGACTCCTGCGTATCCCGGTGTGGACAGAGAGTTACTAATGAAGACACGCCCTTCTTTCCCAGTAAGTGGTTATGGAATGTGTATCCCAAAAAACAGAAACATCTGCTCGGTAGCCGGTTCTTGCTTATGTCACAGTGATTCCTAACATGCAGTAAACATTTATCTTCTTTATTTACCTTGGTTTATTTAACGCTGGAACCATTAAGCTATGGGAACCATTAGGAAAACAGCTGCGGCACCATCAGAACAAAACAGAACACAGCCCCTCACAGTCAAAATAGGCAGAAGAGAAAATAATTAAGTAGCATGGTGTGTCTCCATTAGAAAATTACGAATCCCTTGCTGGCCTAGTCCTCACACGATATGGCAGTGCATGGCTAGCAAAGTTAAATCTGGTTCCTTGTTTGTTGTACAGTGGCACCTTGATTCTCAAATACCTTGGAACTCAAATGCCTTGGTTCTCAAACACCGAAAATCCAGAAGTAAGTGTTCCGATTTTTGAACGTTTTTTGGAAGCCAAATGTCCAATGCGGTTGCCGGCTATTGTTTCCGGGGCACCTGAACCAATCAGAAGCTGGGCCTTGGTTTTCGAGCATTTCGGAAGTCAAACGGACTTCTGGAACAGATTAAGTTTGGTGCTTTTGTTTTTGCTATTTATTTTGCGTTATTGTTTTTGAGGCTTTTTCGGTTAATTTGTTTTTGTGACTGTGTGGAACCCAGTTTAGCTACTGATTGATTGATTGATTGATTGTGTGACTGCGGAAATGGATAAAAGCCCCCCATCCAAACAATGACTATCATCAGTGCAGGTAACAAAAAATAATAATTTTAATTTCTATCATCTACAATTCTGTCTTATTTATTTTATAGTACAGTGTATTGATTTTTGCTTTCATTTTATGGATCAATGGTCTCGTTAGATAGTAAAATTCATGTTAAATTGCTGTCTTAGGGGTTGTTTTTAAAAGTCTGGAACGGATTAATCCATTTTGCATTACTTTCTATGGAAAAGCATGCCTTGGTTTTGGAACGTTTTGGTTACAGAACGGACTTCCGGAATGGATTAAGTTTGAGAACCAAGGTACCACTGTATCTGACTTCTCTAACGTCTGAGGAGATGGCTCTTCTGTGAACATAAGTTTCATGGGTGTCTGTTCAATAAACAAGTGTCTTTTATTGCGAGGAAAGACCTAATTGGTGCCAAGTGGGGGATTCCCCCCACCCAAATGCAAATAGCAGCTTCAGAGGAGGAGTTTTTTCCCCAGCATTGCATCAGGGGTAGAATCATAAGGTCCATGGGACCCAGGCTACTTTGGGCTTTAAGGTAATGACTAACACTTAGAATTGGGCCTGGAATCCATATTAACTGTCTCATACCTTACCGTCAGCTTCAGGAGAGCTGTTGCTGGACCTGCTGGATGGCGGGTGTCAGGGTGGGCATCCTTCAGCAGGGCTCCACTGCCAATCCCTGGAGCCTCCCCTGGCTCTCTTTCTCCACGCGATTCCTGCTGGTTCATCTGCTTTCTCAAAGTGAGCGAGCGGTGAGAAGAGGAGCTGTACACTCTGCATGCCTGCTCATCTCCTTTGGGGAGGTGGTGGTGCAGATCAACTCAGAGGGACAAATAAGTACAGCAGCAACAGTTGTGTGGGAGGGGCAGGCAAGTGCTTTTAGGAAACAGGGTGCACTAGGAGCATGTTTCTCCCCAAAACCTGGATCCAGCCTTCTCTATGGTGGTGCCTCAGTGTGGAACATGCTCCCATGCCAGACCCGCCGGGGCCCTTCTCTTCTCGCACGGAAGATACGTTTGGTTCAGAAGCCTTTGGATTATCAATAGCTACGATGTTTGACTTTTTAACTCATCCACCAGTGCTATTCATGAGTCTTTCTACAGAAGTTTGTTGTGTATGTTTTAATCGTGAAATGTTGTTGATTTTGATATTTAATGGTGAGTTTTTAACCAGGTTTGTTAGCATCTTACAGTGAGGGGGGGAAAGTATTTGATCCCCTGCTAAATTTGCCCGTTTGCCCTCTGACGAAGAAATGACCAGTCCATAATTTTAATGGTAGGTTTATTGTAACTGTGAGAGACAGAATAACAACCGGAAAACCCCCAGAAACCCAGAAGACAAAAGTCAGAGATTGATGTGCATTATAATGAGTGAAATAAGTATTTGATCCCCTATCAACCAGCCAGATGTCGGGAAGGGCAAATTTCCCCCCTCACTGTAGAAATGCCATGAAGTAAAATAGGCAGGAAATTCAATAGAACAAAAAAATGGAGTCATGTGTGCTGAATTCTTTGATGCTACTGGAGTGCTCTGATTAAAAAGCAGTACAAAACTTTGGGAAGTAAATAAATATCTCCAGCACCTGACAACAGCCAGGCTGCCAAATTCTGCATCTGTTGTCGCTTCTTTTTACTTCCGGGGATTTTAGCTGTGGTTAGAACTGGCTGACTTGTCCTATTTGTTAATGTAAGGATGCTTGTTCATGTACAGGTACAGCCACGCAGCAAAGCAGAGTGGGTTACATCACCATAGGTACGGCAGTGGCAATCCCATTATAAAATGTTTCTGACACATATTAGCCAAATTTATTTCTTTTGAACTGTGCTATGTAGCCACTGTGTCGTGAACGCTGGTCAAAATGTTACCACGCCGACCTATCGCCCTACAAGCCTCAGCCACTTCTGGCGATGGCAGCTGTTTCACAGTGCCACAGTTGTGATTTTTTTGTGATGGAACAATCATGTCTTTTCCCAAACAGCATTTGATAGGGTCTAGACTTTAATAGGTGAGTTTTAAACCCTTACTGTGCTGAAAGGTGCTTAATTATTTACAGGAATTTGCACCCTTTTCCAGGTAAAAGACATCTGCTCCAAATGTTGGGATGCTTCTGTAGGATTGTGAGGCAATATCTCTGGTTTTGCTCTCCTAAGCTTTCTCTTCTAATAGTTACATACCATATTTGTCACTTTCATGAATAAATGCATTGAAAATGCCCAAGTATAATTTATCTTTGCTATAGCCTGGCAAAGATGTGGATATAGCAGAGACCTTTAGTAGGCATTTCTGTTTGTTCCATATTGAACACATGCAGCCATCCTAATTTCTATTAAGTACAGTGGTACCTCGGGTTAAGTACTTAATTCGTTCCGGAGGTCCGTACTTAGCCTGAAACTGTTCTTAACCTGAAGCACCACTTTAGCTAATGGGGTCTCCTGCTGCTGCGCCGCCAGAGCATGATTTCTGTTCTCATCCTGAAGCAAAGTTCTTAAGCTGAAGCACTATTTCTGGGTTAGTGGAGTCTGTAACCTGAAGCGTATGTAACCTGAAGCGTATGTAACCTGAGGTACCACTGTACTCAAATGGTCCTTTAATTCTGTTTTTCTTTTTCTTTTTTATCATGGTTGGGAAATTGTTGACATACTTACATGGGGAATTTGCTGCTTACTGTTTTCAGTTTTACTTATAGCACACTGGCCGCCTATTCCTATGCGTGGTTTACTCAGGAGTAAGTGTCAATGAATTGAGTGGGAAGTACTCCCGGGTGTGCATTGAACTATAATCTTGACCCATTTCATACTTTTTATGAAGGCTTAAAAAAAAAAACTCTCACATGTAAGGCTGCCTAACAGGCCAAACCTATTCATGTATACCTGAGGGAGCGTCTCCACCCCCATCGTTCAGCCGGGACACTGAGGTCCAGCTCCAAGGGCCTTCTAACTGTTCCCTCACTGCGAGAAGCAAAGTTACAGGGAACCAGGCAGAGGGCCTTCTCAGTAATGGCCCCCGCCCTGTGGAACGCCCTGCCATGAGATGTTAAGGAAATAAACAACTACCTGACTTTTAGAAGATATCTGAAGGCATCCCTGTTTAGGGAAGCTTTTAATGTTTGATGTTTTATCACTTTTATCACTATGATGATGATGTTGGGAGCCGCCCAGAGTGGCTGGGGGAAACCCTGCCAGATGGGCAGGGTATCAACAATAAATTATTATTAAGAACCAAGCTCCACCAAACCTAAGGGAACTTTCACCCATATGAATGAATTTAGGCTGCAGTTCTAAATGCACTTGCAAGAGAGCACATCCCATTAAATCAAGTGGGGCAGGACTTATTTCTAAGTAACCATGTTTAGGATTGCCTTGCAAAAGATTAAAATAGCAAAATCTATTTTAAAATAATAATAATAATATCTAACTGCATTTCTTTTACACAAATTTCTCATTCTTTTTTCAAATCTTTAAGGGCATTGCACCAAAATTAGAGTTTTCCACAAGGACAACTATTACAGAACTTCCACTTCTGTCCAGAAGATGGTATCGTGTAAGTAATTTTAGCTAATTAACTCAGAGATGAACGGCAACATTTTCAGTCGCACCCAATCTCTCTTAATACCTCATTGCGTCTAGTATGACATAGCAGTCGTAGCAATTCTGTATCTAGATAGTTCTCTTCAACTTCTGCTCAGATTATTAGCTACCTGGAATTAGCCCTAAGGAGCAGAAGGCTGTAACCATTTAAATTTTTTATCATCCCTAAAAGTGGTACTCTTGTTCAAAGATAATTCAGGGCTAGGCGTTGTCATCCTCCAGTGGATGCCTGGGTCTCAGTTCAAGGAGGAGACAAAGAAAGCGCGGTTCAAGGTGTATGCAGTGCTTTCTTGCTGGGGTTACGCAGGGGTACGCATACCCCTAAACATTTTGTGAATCTAAGTTTGGCCTCATTGAGGGGCAGTATTTCAATATGAGTAGGAAAATGAGAGTACCCCTAAACCCCTTACCTTTCCCGCCCTGACCTGGCCACAGTGATCCATGCGACGGTCACCTCCAGGCTTGACTACTGTAATTCACTCTACGCGGGGCTGCCCTTGAAGCTGTCCCAGAAACTCCAGCGGGTGCAGAATGCTGCAGAGAGGCTCCTCACAGGGTCTCTGCCATGGGAGCATATTCACCCAGTGCTTTTCCAGCTGCACTGGCTCCCGGTGCAGTACAGGGTCAGATTTAAGGTGCTGGTTTTGACCTTTAAAGCCCTTCATGGCCTAGGACCCTTGTACCTACGGACCACCTCTCCCGGTATGCCCCACGGAGAGCATCAAGGTCCATAAATAGCAACACCCTAGTGGTCCTGGGCCCTAAGGAAGTTAGATTAGCTTTAACCAGAGCCAGGGCCTTTTCAACTCTGGCTCCGGCCTGGTGGAACACTCTGCCTCATGAAACCAGGGCCCTGCAGGATCTGATTTCTTTCCGCAGGGCCTGTAAGACACAGTTGTTCTGCCTGGCCTTTGGCTTGGAGCCAGTTTGATTTCCTCCCGCTCTTTCTTTTTTCTTTTTCCTTTTCTCCTCCTGTGATGAGACTGCATTTTAATATTTTAATGTTTCAATGTTTCAATGTTTCAATGTTGTATTTTAATCTTGTTTTTAAGTTGTATACATTCAACTTGTTTTTATTATTGCTTGTTAGCCGCCCTGAGCCTGGCCTTGGCTGGGGAGAGTGGGGTATAAATAAAAATTATTATTATTATTATTATTAAACTTTTTTTAGAAAAAAAATAACACTGCATGTATGAGTCTGTCTTTCCGGATTGGGGCAAAACAAAGTTAAACAATTTCTGTCGATGATCTCATTTTTCACCTGTCCAGTGAGATAGCCAGGGGACACAACTTCTTGCTGTGTGGATATTTCCTCTGCCATACATATTCACTTTCTGTAGTCAGGTCTCCAGGCAGCGGGTGTAGATATTAATGTATTTTGCAGGGCAGAAATAAGAGCAGGTTGAGAAGGGCTGTCTCAGCATCGCCCCGGCGGAGGAGCATTTCACCGGCACGATGTAAGACAACAAAGAATAAGGGCTGTAGGCGATTCTCAAGATCATTCCCATCGCGCTCTCCGTCTCCAACAAGACGTCTCCAGGAGTTTTGCAGGGAAAGCCGGCAGCAGACGCCTTCTCTGAGCTTGAGGTCTGTTAAGTTCAAGTCAGAATCAGACCCCAGGCCGCCTTTTGTAGTTCGACATGTAAGTCCTAAGAATGTAACTTTTTAAAAATTGCCTGGCCAGGCAAACTGGGCGTTCATCACTGTTCCTCCCGGTAGATGACAAAAGGGAAATTATAGGGGTCCGCAAACGGAATGCCGTACAAAAATACTTCTGTACAAGGTACACTAAGGGTGTAAATACGCTCTGTAGAAACGAGAAGAACCTGCCAGTTTCGATCAATAGAAAAGTAAGATTTTGGAATGAATAATAGGGCCCAATTGCCCTATTGGATCGCTGCAGAGTCCAAATTGTTTACAACAATATCAGTGGGATGTGCGAGGGCTCCAAGGCCTCCTAGTAGATTATCCTATGCATGGTGACGATCTGGAGGGGACAATACCATATTCAGGCCTGGATGCAGTCTTAAGCATCTTGTCATAATGTGAAATGCAATTCTGTGTTCTAATAAGACTCCTTCGTCAGGGCACAGCGTAGTCTGCAGCCTGCCCAGAGACTTCTGGGCCCTGATATCCTGCAAGACCCGCACTCAAGTCTTTGCCACCACAGACACGTCTAGGTATTACGTGACGCAGGCTGTAAATTTAGTAGACTAGCAGGCTGGGAAGGACAAAAACGTGAGTGCTGGAACTGACCTCCCACGTATTGTCATAGTCCAGAGCACATCAAGCAAGCGTTCGATTCAGCAGCGTATTCCATCGCGACAGTTAATCTAGAGAAGTCGTTTGGGGAATGCAGCTGCTGTGCATTTATTTCCAGGGTATCGGGCAACATGCAACTATTTGAAATCAGAAAGAAACTTCTCTCATGGACAGGGTATTCCATATTAGTCCGTTACACATTTTCATTTAACAGTTAGGTTGAATATCAAATTGCTTTAATAGCTAATCTTTGGCACTCTGACCAGTCACTGATTCCAAGTGCTACTCCTGTACAGTGGTACCTCAGGTTAAGTACTTAATTCGTTCCGGAGGTCCGTTCTTAACCTGAAACTGTTCTTAACCTGAAGCACCGCTTTAGCTAATGGGGCCTCCTGCTGCCGCTGCGCCGCCGGAGCACGATTTCTGTTCTCATCCTGAAGCAAAGTTCTTAACCTGAGGTACTATTTCTGGGTTAGCGGAGTCTGTAACCTGAAGCATATGTAACCTGAAGCGTATGTAACCCGAGGTACCACTGTACAGGCAAACCTTGGAGATACTGCAGGTTTGGTTCCAAGCCGCCTCAATAAAGCAATAATAATAATTTTATTACTTACACCCTGCCCATCTGACTGGGTTGCCCCAACCGCCATAAAAACACAGCAAACATGGCAAAAAAAAGCAATTCTCTTGGTTTCCCAGTGCGTATAAAAGTTGTGTTTGCACTATACTGTAGTCTGTTAAGCCAGGCACCCCTGGTTACAGGGGCGAGAGGAGAAAAACCCTGGGCAACGGAGCAGACCGTGGTTAGCCAGAGTGGAAGCGAAAGCTTCTGAACTCTTCCTTGCAGCTGTCAAGAGAAGGAGAGGGGTGGCCAGCAGGGAGACACATGCAACCTCAGCAGAAATCTAGGCTTGTTCATTTCTCTCTAAACCACAGTTTAATGTGACACAGGAGTGGTTCACCCAGTGGGGCAGGAGGGAGAGGAATGTGGCGGCGATGGCAAAGTCATGGCTTTGCAGATGCATCGACAAAAGCGGCGGACAAGGTCCAGTGTTGTGTCCCTCCAGTAAGCAACAATAACACCATTACTGGAAGGCTGTTGTGGTTTCAGGTGTGGCTGAATAATGCAAAATCAGCCAGTGGGGCAGAATGACTCATCCCAAGCAGGGTTAATTTAGAACAGCGGTTCTCAATTTGTGGGTCCCCAGATGTTGTTGGACTACAACTCCCATCATCCCTGAGCTCTGGCCTTGCTAGCTAGGGGTGATGGGAGTTGTAGTTCAACAACATCTGGGGACCCACAGGTTGAGAAAGGCTGATTTAGAAGGAGGTGAGGCCGGAGCAAGAGAATCATAGAGACCCCCAAGGCAGCCTCCCTTGTAGAGCGGAATTTTGGAATCGTATACATCTTTCCTTGTTTAATGAACCACTTGCAGGCCACGAGCAGATATCCTGTGGGTCACTAGTTTGGGAATGACAGTCGTCTTAACTTTTTCCGAATATCTGAAATTTGGTTAGATTCAGAGTGCCCCTTCCCTGAGCAGAAGGACCTGAGATCCATTGGATCCCCTTACAGGAGGAAGAGAGAGGAGAGTTAGGGGGATTTTTGTTGATTCCCCCCAGGGCTACCTCCCACACTTCCCAGCGGATCTTCCAGAGCAGATTTTCAGGTGCTTGTAGCGGGGAGAAGGAATCACTAAAAATGGGAGCATCCCAGGAGCAGAATTCCACTCTTGGGAACTCTGGATCCAGTGTTTTCAGTTAATTAGAGGGTTTAAAGCCAACCAGTCAGTTTTAATTTAAATTGAGAGATACACGTTAGGGAATATCAAAGGGACCAGGGAGGGAACCTTAATGTTAATGGCAAGAATCGCAAGTATAGGTTCTTTTCCAAGCCGAATTCTGTTGTTTTAAGATTATTGTCTTGTTATTATTTCTTTGGTTTTTAAATTTTTTTTAGGTAGATTCTTCTAAAATGTTTTCTGAGCCATATTGGATTCCAAGTCAAAATACGAGCTCGTCAAGGAATTCCCACAAACTTCAGTTGAAACGAGGTACTTAACAATTCCTTAATCTTAATTAAAAATGTGAACTGTGCTGATAACAAGACCACCATGCATGTCATAGGGTTCTAATACGCTGTGGGTTGTATTCTGTCACCATTACTCCATTGAATTGATGTTTTATTCACATTGTTCCATTGATTTCTCAGGAAAGTGGGCTACTCTTTGGGATAGCATCCCAATATGTTTTGCATTCAAATCCTAAATCATTATTTCAGTTCCATGGGAATTCATGAGATTTCTCTCTCAAGTAATGGATTTCAGATCATGTTATAAGTTGCAGTTTTCACCCTTTCATTTGCCGCTGGGGTAAAGGAATTCTCCAGCACAACACTGCTGAGTAGTTTAGTACATAAGATACTAATACATTTTGTATTATTATTATTATTATTATTATTATTATTACAGTCATACCTTGGAAGTCGAATGGAATCCATTCTGGAAGTCCGTTTGACTTCCAAAACATTCGGAAACCAAGGTGCGGCTTTTGATTGGCTGCAGGAAGCTCCTGCAGCCAATCGGAAGCCCCGTCAGACATTCGGCTTCCAAAAACAGTTTGCAAACCGGAACAGTTTGGCATTTGGGAGCCAAAACGTTCGAGAACTAAGCTGTTCGAAAACCAAGGTACGATTGTATTATAATAATAATAATAAATTTTTTTTATTTATATCCCGCCCTCCCCAGCCGAAGCTGGGCTCAGGGCGGCTAACAACAATCAAAATAATCCAACATTCTAAAAACATTCATTATAAAATTAATTAAAATCAAATTGATGGCAACCATTAAGCAAAATTCTGTGCAGATTGCCAGAGGATTGCCAGGGCTGTGCCCTGACCAAAGGCCTGGTGGAACAGCTCTGTCTTGCAGGCCCTGCGGAAAGATGTCAGGTCCCGCAGGGCCCTAGTCTCTTGTGACAGAGCGTTCCACCAGATTATATTTTTACACCGCCCTATACCCGCAGGTCTCAGGGCGTTTCACAGGATAAAACCATGATATAAAACACACAGAATCAAAATAAAAACAAGAACAACCCGATGTATTCAGCTGTATTCAGAGGCAGTTCCAGATTTAGTGGGCCCTGTTAGTTCTTTGTGCTTTTATATGTGTGTGAGGTTGGGGGATGAAGGCAGTACCTTTGAGAGTGTGCAGAGTCCTTTCCCTTTCTCCAGCACAACCACAGCTCGTTTCAAACATCCTGTGGTTAGAAGAAGGAACTTTTAGGGCAAAAGCGGCTCCTTCCAGATATCACCACCTGTTTCTTACATTTGTGTAATCTGCACCTGTTAAACACACCTGCAAAGATTACTGCTGTTGATGTGCTTGGGAAATGACAGTTCCCGTGAGTGGGCTAGCTGGGCGAGCTACGTATATGGATGGATGGCAGGGCCCGTGAAGCAGTTGGAGGCAAAGCAGCGAATCTATTTTGCTTGCTTGTTTCTGTTCTATATTAGAAATTGTGTTGACAAACCAACCAACAAACCATATGAAACCATCATTGCATCTTTCCTCAGCCCTCTTTCCATATGTGATACATGCAACTATAGGCATTGTTTTAATTCTTCAGAATTGATTTTTTTATTTTTTATTTCTTGCAGCGTTATCGTACGATAGCTGGAAGTCTGCTTGCCCGGCAGCAAAGGTAATTTAAGAAGTGGAGTCTGTAGCATCATTTGCTGGTTAGGTTACTGGGTGTATGACTTTAATAAGACTAGATGCTTGCCATGTTGAGGTTAGGAAATGACAAATACTTGAGGAAAAAAGGCTATTTATCAGTGTCTGGCAAGGGCACACAGTTCATGTAACTTTCCACAAGGCACGCTTTATTCTGCACTAAAAGTGTGTAAAGCTGGTTTGGATATAAGTCTGCGATTATACTTCTGAACTGTCATTCCCTGTGAAGAATTGTCAGGTCTGTAGGTAGTTGCTCGCGAGTAAACAGCCAGAACTCCGGCCTGTCTTTTACAGGTTTTATTTAGTGCAAACTATATACAGTTCAGAGATCTGGCGGGAAGGTAAATGGTGTTTCCGTGCGCTGCTCTTGTTCGCCAGAAGCGGCTTAGTCATGCTAGCCACATGACCCGGAAGCCGTACGCCGGCTCCCTCAGCCAATAAAGCGAGATGAGCGCTGCAACCCCAGAGTCGTCCGCGACTGGACCTAACAGTCAGGAGGTCCCTTTACCTTTACACTCAGAGCATTCTGACTTAGCTCCTGCCTCTTTCTCATCAAACAGCAAAGAGAAAGAAACAAAGGACAATAGTCCTACATTCCAGAACACAGTAGTACAAAACATCCTGTCTCCGTCACTTCCCACTCTGTGGAATGAAAACATACACCGTCATGTGATAGACAACAATCTCATGACTGCAAACACGGAGCAAGAATCCTAACAGGGAGATCCGATTGAGCTAAGATAGGACTGCACCCTCCCTGAATGATCTAAGCTCATGATTTGGTGCTGTATCTATACCCAGTATCAGTCCTGGCATCTTAAGTTGGCGGCCATGGCCCAAGAGTGCATTTTACCACTGTCGCTTGATCAGCAAGTTTGAAAACCTGGCTATTTGGAGACACGCCTTGGCAACTTCTGGTCTGCACTACGTTCACATTCCATGGGCCTCTCTTGGAAGAAAGTTTGGAAGTTTTCACATTGTTCAAAACGTGGCAGCCTGCTTACTAGCATGAGCACACCAAGAGAAGCACTAAATGTGTGCTTGGGGGGTCTGTAGTAGCTCCCAGTTTCTCTTCAGAGCACAATTCAGAGCGCCAGGTTTACTCTTCAAGCCTTAAACAGCCGTGGTCTGGTTTGTTATAGAGGTAATCTTTCATGTGTGCCTCCCTTTCCTCATATACAAAGACTGGTTGCTGATGGTGGGGGGTGGGGTGGGGGGGATGGACACAGAGCATTGGTGTGGTAGACTTGGACTTTGTGATGTTAGCTCAAAGTACCTCCTCCTATGTTTTGTTACCTATGTTGCATTCTGATCCATGTTTACAACACACTCTTTTCTATGCTGAGAAAGGAGATTGAATTGACTTTGTGACACAAGCGCTTGTTCTGAAAGTGGTAGAAACATATAGCTGAAGTACAGGAAATGATATTTACCCTTATCTTGTTGACTGGAAATGTGTCCTCTAGGGGGTCCTTGGAGTTCTCTCCCTTTATAGACATCCCAACTCCTGGAAAACTGCTTTATTACAATCAAGTGGTAATTTTATTACAATCAAGTGGGAGGGACGGGGGTGGTGCTGTGGTCTAAACCACTGAGCCTCTTGGGCTTGCCGATCGGAAGGTCGGCGGTTCGAATCCCCGCGACAGGGTGAGCTGCCGTTGCTCTTTACCAGCTCCTGCCAACCCAGCAGTTCAAAAGCATACCAGCGTGAGTAGATACATAGGTACCTCTGCAGCGGGAAGGTAACGGCATTTCCATGCGCTCTGGCATTCGTCACGGTCCTCCGTGTGGCAATAGCAATTTAGTCATGCTGGCCACAAGACCCGGGAAGGCTGTCTGTGGACAAATGCTGGCTCTCTCGGCCTGAAAGCGAGATGAGCGCCTCACCCCATAGTCGCCTTTGACTGGACTAAACTGTCCAGGGGTCCTTTGCCTTTTGTTACACACCACTCCTATCTCCAGGCAGTGCAAGATTCCAGGGGTACCAAGCGTGCTTCCCAGGGTCTGTGTTTCCTTTTGGACAGTGGAGACTATGACACCTTTATGATATATGGTTTATTGACATGTAAATACAACCTGGGTCTAGATGGAGAAAGTTCAGAGCATTTTCATCCCAAGAGGGCCTCTTGCTTCTCCAATAAGCAGAAGAGGCTTGAGTCTCGGAACAGAGATCAGATATCAGCCAAGTTCTCTGCTTGTCCCAGCCAGCCCACATGGTTCTCCAAACGATTTCCTTTGCTTACATCATCCATACTGAAACCCTACATCCCTTAAACCCTTTTTGCCTCTGCCCACTAACACACAGCTGGAGGAGGGGTCCCACCCCTCTTCCTCTGGCATATTCCTCTGAATTATTACTTTGTCATTTGGCTGTCTGTCTTTATTTTTCCAATCAAGTGGTACATGAATGTTGTGAAATAATAATAAATAAACCCTTCCTTTCTCCACAGGTAACCAGAGAGCTGGATATGCAATACAGCTTGGATCCTGGTTCATCATCACTTGAAACAAGGGAGCCTATTGATTTTGATTACTCTCTTTCCCTTTGCCACAAACCTTCATCGGACTCCTCAAAGCGCTACCGATCACCAAGCCCATGTGCGCGGTGGGCGTCTCCTCAACACAGGTGACCATTCCTAGATACTTAAGTGACAGGCGGCCAGCATGTCTAGGCACCCCTGCCTCAAAAATTCCTGGAAGTCAGTCGCGGTGACCGATGTTGCTGTTCTTATTTGCCATCCTGTTTCCCAGGATCAGCTGCCAACCCTACGGGGCTGTCAGATTTCTAATGCCACCATACAAATCTAGAGAGATAAGTGTATGGGACCAATGGCCATCAGGGACAGGCTTGAGTTAAAAACAGCCACAGCTTTGATGACAAGTTACTGGGGTTTGGTGCAGCATAGGACAACGTTCTGACCTTTGGGCTGCCCGATCGTTGGCCAGTATCTCCACCCCAGCCTGCCTGCTAGGTGACATGGAGGAGTTGGCAACAGGAAATTTCAACCACAGCATGGGCTGCTTGGATGGGGCCCATGGAAACCTGGGAGTGTGGTTTCCAGGCCCCTAAGTGAGGCCAAGGCCTTAGTTCATGGAGGATACGGTCATCAATGGCTGCTAGCCACAGAGACTGGTATCTGAAGTGGTAGGTCTCTGAATACCAAATTTTTGGTGACACCACGTGGATTGCAGAGCATCCATCTCACTTTAATTTGTCAGGCATCCACCTTGCTGATGTTGTGTTGATAAAAAGACACTTTTTGCATTTCCTAAGGCCTTTGGCAGTATTTGTTTTTTAAATTTAATTTGCTGGTTTTGCAAATTTGTATAGTGGCGTGTTTGCTTTTTGTTGGTTGTGGAGGACGGTTCTTTTAACTGCAAATTTTAAAAAATGTGAGCCATCCTTCGTTAGGCAGGAGGTAGAATAATTTCTTTGAATAATAGTAAATAGGAGTGGAGGCGATTGAATGTAGAAGGTGCTAAAGTGCCTTTCACACAACACTTTATTCGAGGCTTGATGGGGGATCTCTGGAGAATTATTAACATCCAGAGTTTCTTCCTTGTGACAAGTTTAAGTGACAGTTCTCTGCTTCTTTTTCATGCTGACTGGAGAACGCAATGCAATGATGCTGATCAGGAGAGATTAAGAAGAATAGGAGTTATGTTCCAGGCAGGCCCCATAAACAATCCTGACCTTGTGGTATAAAAATAGCCAAGAAGTTCTGAGAGAATTCCATATATTTGGATTCCTTTGCCATTCCTTTGTCAAAGAGATACTTTGGGTTCATAGTCAGCACTTTGGCAACAGTTGGCCTCCTCTCCTCTGTTGTTCGTAGTAGCAAGGAGAGTCATTCTACGGGTGGCTCTTGGTCCTAACTTGCAGAACTGAGAGGTCAGAGGTTGAAACAATTCTCTGGCTGCCTAATTTCACAGCTGTAAAAGAGGTTCAGAGGGCTTTTGTGATGGTGGGGAGCGGAAATGGGAACTGGCCGCTACTTGATAATACTTGTGTTACGTGATGGGACTATATGGAGAGAAATCATAAATGCTTAGTATCAAGTGACTTGAGTCCCCTGACATTTTTTTCAGAATATATTCCAGCCCCAATTCAAGCTGGGAAGAGATTAACGAGAGAGTGAAAAACCTCCTAACTTCAGACGAGGCCATACAAAGATTATCCTTTGTAAGTATGATGCGCTTTAAGCAGAACTGTTATTGATTCCTCTCGCTCCAGATGCAAGAGTGAAGTCCTATAAAGCCTTATATGGCTTTACATATTCTATAAAACAGGAGTAGGTATGCTGTGGTCTTCCACATGGGTTGGTCTCCAGCTTCCAGCCGGCAGGGCCAAAGGTCAGGGATGATGGGACTTGTCATTCGTGTAACACTTTGTCAACTTATTTACCTCTGTTAAATCAAAACATTTCAGTCAACACTGGGGCTGCCATACGTCTGGGAATCAGACTGTCAAAATGGCGTCTGGGCGGATTTTTTGGGGAGATGTCAACAAAGGTCAACAACTTTGTCCAGATTTTCGCTTTTGGGAATATGGCAACCCTAGTCAACACTCGTTAACTGAGCGGAGTTGTGGTTTAAAGTTTTAGCTAAAGTTGCTCGGGGCCAATCTAGATGTTTCTCCGATCAATGGGCACAATCAAAAATGGCAGCAACACGCCTAGTTCCTTTCTCTCTCCCTATGTGCTGCAACTTAGCTCTGCGACATGACATCCCACCCCTCCCCACCCCCTCAATTTCATTGGCTGCTGATACTGGGAGACAAAGACTCATCGCTTTGCCTAGATCCTGTGTCCTTTTAGATGTTCCCATAGTTACGTGGCAGCCGTTTTTCTATGAATGGCTCCTAAGTGGGTTTTGTGGCGTTTACATGACCCAACCAGATGGATGAGGGTTGTTCATGTGGATTATGAGCATGGGACCATCTTGGGACCACCTTGAGAGTGCGCGGTGGCAACAGATCCATATGGAAAACGACAAGGCCGGTTCTTGACCGCATTTGAATGTTGAAGGGAATGTTTTCAGCAGCTGCACATCTAGAGTAACATCTGCTTTGGGCTTTAAACTTCTGTGTACCTTTCCCAAGCTGCCTAATGCTAAACCCAAAGCCTGGCTCAAGATACGCCAGCCCTCTACGACCTCAGCGGCTAAAGCCAACAGCAGCTAAAGAGGTTGTGACACTTTTGCCTGTTTGGGAGGCCTTGGCTATTGCCAAGATCAGTCAGTTGGGTGATTCACATAGCCTGTGGGTTATCAATAATTATTAAAACAAACAAGCACAGTTGGTAGAGCATGAGACTCTTAATCTCAGGGTTGCGGGCCCTACACTGGGCAAAAGATTCCTGCATTGCCAGGGGTTGGACTACATGACCCTTGTGGTCTCTTCCAGCTCTACAATTCTATGGTTTTAAACAAGCAGAAAGCTCCTCAAACAGCCTTCATTTCCCCCAACTATGCAAAATAATCATAGCAGAAGAATGCAAATAAGTTCAGTGCAATTTTTGTCTTTGCAGATATACAATGCCTCAAACTTAAAAATGCAAGTGTATCCTGAAAATTGCATGCACACAATTGCAAAACCCATAGGCACTTTTTGCACATTGCAAGGAACATAAATGTGCCTCTCTGCTGAGCCTTTCCCCCCTGCTTTGGTTGTCTTGCAGAGGAAGGAGCTGCAGGTGTGCACTCTGTGGGACATCAGAGCCCTATATCTTCACAGGTCCTCTCTGCCAAACATCTGATGGCTGGAAGGGGACCACAAGGGCCTGATGAAATCAAGTTGTGGTCCACATCCAGCTTGTGGACGGGGAATTCCCCACCCCTGATTTAACTCTACCGAAAAGCCTTTTTTTCTGCTCATAATTTTTTGTGGCCATTCATCTCCCCCTCCAGGATCTCAATGTTATGCCTTGTTTAAATCAGAAACTGCTTTCACTCACTAATTTCAAAGCTCCCATGATGGAGACACAGATCCATGTGAGTTAACCCAAAGTGACATTACTTGCTGTTGTCTCTCCAAGATGATACATTCTTCTAATGAACCTTAATAGAAAGGTACTTTGACCGACAGAGCTAGAGGACAGTGTCATGCATCAGTTGTTCCCAAACGTGCAGCGATAAGCTTCTTTTAATTCTCCTAGAACAGCTGATATATTTGTTTTCAGCCAGGCACATTTAGCAGCGCTGATGACGATGAACAACCCAAGTTTAACGGGGCAACTATTTTGCAGGGAGCCACTGATTCCGAAATTGATGATGTCCTTGAAAGAAGGTCCATCTCTTTGAGGAGTTCCCCACTGTGTGACTCAACGGAACAAAGATACTGCTTGTAACTGCTGTCATTGGCAAGGTATGCTGCATAAAGCCACCTCCTTCTCTCTCGATTTATTGGACTAGTCTATTGCAGAAGGTTAAAAAAAAGCACTGGGAAGGTTATATAAAGCCTGCTACAAATCGGTAAGATAAACTATTACAGCAGCATTCCAGGCCCCGTAAGGTGCAATTCTCACACCGACGTGGGTCAGGCAGGATGAGAGTGATTGCAGTGGTATCTGGCTTATTGCTAGGACCTGTCTGGTGCTCTGCTATGAAGATGCTGTTGTCCCTCGTGTCCCGCCATTCATTTAAAGAGCATGCAAGAAACCCAGACTTGGCAATGGGGAAGCCCTGCAGCTTCCACCACCTTCCACACTGTCTCACTGTCCGAAAGTTCTTCCTGGTGTTTAGTTGAGCTCTCCTTTCTTGTAACTTGAATCTGTTAAGTCAGAGGTTTTCAGCCTTTTTGAGTCCACGGCTCCTTTAACCAACTACATTCTTTCTGCGGCACCCCTGTGGGGCTCAGGAGCCCAGTTAAGCCACCCCTTGCCTGCAGAGCTGGCAGCCTCTCACCCTTTTTCAAACACCCTCCCTTGTGCAGTGTCCCCTCAGCCTCCTCTCCCCTCTCCTTTTTTTAATATATATATTTTTTATTAGTTTTTAACATATCATTTTCAACAGTAATTAAACATACTTTTACATCTTATTCAATTTTTTTGACTTCCATCAGCCCTGACTGAAAATTTTCCAGTCTAATCTCTTAGTATGCATTTCTTAATTTTTCCTATTACATTTCAATCTCATAACCAATATCTCTTATCTTTTTCTATTTTGTAACACAACTACTAGCGTAATTTGTTGATTACAGTTGCTCTTCAAGTAATTCATATACTTCTTCCAATCTTCTGTAAATCTCCGGTCTCGCAGGTTTCGAATCCTTCTTTTCATTTTGTCCAATTCTGCATAGTCCATTAATTTCGTCTGCCATTCTTCTTTCGTCGGAATTTCTTCTTGCTGCCTTTCCCCTCTCCTTTCGTGTGTCCAGAAAAGCAGCATACAAAATTTATTATAAATGAATGAATGACTGAAATAAACAGGACTGGCTAGCACCTTTCGCAAACTATAAATGGATGCATGCCCCAGAATCCATGGTAAAAGGTGAAAATTCTTAAGTACCGGTAGATGTGCAGAAGGTTTTCTACAATACAGTGGTACCTCGGGTTAAGTACTTAATTTGTTCCGGAGGTCTGTACTTAACCTGAAACTGTTCTTAACCTAAAGTACCACTTTAGCTAATGGGGCCTCCCGCTGCTGCCACACCGCCAGAGCACAATTTCTCTTCTCATCCTGAAGCAAAGTTCTTAACCTGAAGCACTATTTCCGAGTTAACTGAGTCTGTAACCTGAACCATATGTAACCTGAAGCGTATGTAACCCAAGGTACCACTGTAGATTGTTAATAAGGGTCCCTGAAACTGGACAATTGAAAACTACTTATCTAGAATATGGATTTTTAAAAATAAAATAGTGTTTACACCACCTTGAGGGCTTTGGCTGTGAGTCCTGAAAGACTGGCTCCCTGAGCAGATTCATTGCCTGGGGTGTTATTTAGGCGGAAGGGAGGTGCAGGGTTGTTGCTGTTGCTAATTTTTGTATTTTTGTTTTGGATCTTACAATTTTTTGTGGAAATAGTTTAATTTGGTTGTGTGCTTTTTGATGTTTTATTTATTGCTTATGGCTTGTAACTCTCTCTTTTTACATCACAAAAAGATCCCTTGCAGCATTAAGAGAGTGAGAGATTCTTGTGATATAAAAAGAGACTCTCCCCTCCCGCAGAATCTCTCCCCTCCCGCAGTCTCTACTTAGATCCCAATCATTAACCCAGTGATCCAGTTGTCATTGTTCTCTCTGCTAGCTGGCAGATAATTCTCACTGCCCCAGAGTCTAACCCTAGCACAACTGTAAATAAGTGAAGCAGTCTCCTCTTTTAAGTAACTTCTATGGTAAGTAACCGAGCTGAGAAATCACTGTGTTTGTGCAAAACTCATCAGACAATCCCATAATAACTATTATGTTTGTACTTACGTAATTTCTTATATATTGTAAGCCGCCTTGAGCATGGTTTTAACAGCGTACAAATAAAACGATTAACTGATGCTTAGCTTGCAGTCTTCATTGAAGAACTGCATTCAGAGTACTGATGTTACAGTTCCCTTGCAAAACAAAAACAAAAATAGAAGAGGATATACGGGTTTGTCCAAGCATGACATTTCTCTGTAATATTTTATCAGTTTCCCCCATCCTGTAGTAACAGACAATTTAACGCCTTTTTTCCAGAAAGAATACAGCAGCCTTGGGATATCGACCTGAAGACCCATTCCTGGCAAGATTTTTGTTCTAGAGCTAACTGATGAATGGTTTATTTTCTGTGTGATGTTATGTCTAAATTGGTTTGAAAACAACACTCTGTATTGTAGTGCTGATTAAAGGTTTGATTTATACATTTTCAAACAAGTGCAAGCCTATCAGCTTATTGTGGGTTGATGTCATGGTCCTATTGATGGTGCTATATACTTCTTTAAGATTTTGGCTGCTGAAAGTATTTTCCATGAAAAACCTACTTGGAATTATGTTACCACTCAGGACTGTGTCCTCAGTGTAAAGCTTAGTTTTAGAAATTTGGAAGCGAATACCATTTTGAATTGAATAAAGGAGTGGGGAAAGAGTTTGGTTTCGTGCTGGTAAGATGCACAGCAAACTTTGAAGAACCACTCTAGGATAAATTCAAGGTCCACTGAGCAGCCCTCTCCTGGCTCCACCCAGTTCTGCAGACTCCGCCCACCCAAATTACAGGTAAGAGGATGCTACTGCCAGGGGTATTTCTGCTGGTAGGCAGCATAAATCCCTCGCCATTTATATTCGTGCAGCTGGTTCTTCCCGCCTAAGTTTAGGATGTTACATTTGCCCCAACTGAAATTCAGGGCCTCAAGGAGGTTAGACTGGTCTTGGCCAGCCTGGTGGAACACCCTGCCACAAGAGACTAGGGCCCTGCGGGACTTGACATCTTTCCGCAGGGCCTGCAAGACAGAGCTGTTCTGCCAGGCCTTTGGTCGGGGCCCAGTCTGACCCCTCTTTTCCTACGAGACCCTATATATAAGAGGCCTCTCATCTCACCAGCTCATATAAATAGCTGAGCCTGCTGAATACCTAAGGTTCCCAACCCCTATAGTCATAATTTGTGGGTTGCCTTCTGATCTTGTTTGATTTTAATCTGATTTTAAGCTGTATTTCATTTTTTTTAATAAGATATTTATTAGGGTTTTTAAAATATTACAATAAAAAATGAAAAAGAAAAAAAATACAAAATAAAAATAATTAAAAACACTCAGATTTTCTTTTGCTTATTTTTCCTTAGCTTGTTTCCCGGACATCCTCATACCTCCCTTTTTTGTATTCCAGTTCAGTTTGTTGGTTCAGCAAATCCTTACCCTCTTTATTTATCCTAATCTTTGGTCTTAAAATAGTAACTTTAGATTTTTATCTCTTAACAACCCATTTTTCATATTCCCTTAAAGCATTACAGCTGGAAACCACTTAATTTCTATCCAACATCGTTCTAACATTCATTAATTTTACAATATTTCTGTAAATAATCTTTGAACTTCTTCCAATCTTCTTCCACCGACTCTTCTCCCTGGTCTCAGATTCTGCCAGTCATTAGCTGTATTTCAGTCGATTGCTGAATTTTATGTTTTAATGTATTTATATTTTGATGTTAGCCACCCTGAGCCCGGTTATGGCTGGGAAGGGTGGGATATAAATAAATTTATTATTATTATTATTATTATTATTATTATTATTATTCTGTTATTTTGGACCCAGGTCTCCAATCTGTTAAGGTCATTTTGAATCTTGATTCTGTCTTCAGCGGCATTAGCTGCCCCTCCTAGTTTGGTGTCATCTGCAAAACCCTCCTCAAGTCCTGCTGTGATCCTGATGATTCAGGCTGCTATTTACATTTTTCTTTTAAAAAATGTTTACATTAAATACAAAGGATGCAGCTCTTGTTTGTCCCATTGCGGAAAGGAACAGAACTGCCTCTTTTTCCCGTACAGAGGCTCAGTGCCTTTCACTGTTGTATAAAATGTAGAAATTTATGACAGCATCTCCATGCTGTTGAAGATGCACCTGTTTAATTTATGACTGATGCTCAGCTGGAAAATGTAGTATCTTTCAGTAGAAATGGAGTGAATCCTAACTCCAGCTTGCTAGCTCTGTCGTCGGAGGATTTTAAATCTGCATTTTTCATCTACGTTATTCCTGATCCTCTAAAGCAGACATTTCTGATTTGACTTTGTTTTAGCAGACTACCATGAGATATTTCCCAGGATTTGCAAACTTAAATGCATGAATTAATCAGGAGCTAGCCAGAAGTTCAACTAATCTCTTTTCTATAGCAATGATGAACTCATTACTATTTCACAGCCACCGACTGTGTGGCGAACATCCTTCTCTCCCCTCAGAAGCACTGAGCAATTTGAAATATTAATGTTTTATCTTTTAAGTTCTGCAGATACAGCCAATTAAATGTAACTTGCTACATGTGGTTGCTGTTCAAAACCCCTACCATGTTTAAATGCCTTTACTGCATTCATCAGTGCAACTACATGTGTGTTCACATCTTGAATGCATTGATGAGTGCAATCAAGACACTGAAATATAAATTCCTGCCATGTGAACCATCCACATGGGAATGGCCTTTTGGTATAATATATAACTTATCCTAAGGGATGCAGGTGGCGCTTTGGTCTAAACCACTGAGCCTCTTGGGCTTGCCCAAGGTCGGCAGTTTTAATCCGCTCTATGGTGGTGAGCTCCTCTTGCTCTGTCCCAGCTCCTGCCAACCTGGCAGTTCAAAAGCACACCAGCGCAAGTAGATAAATAGGTACCACTCCGGCGGGAAGGTAAACAGCGTTTCTGTGCGCTCTGGCTTCCGTCACGGTGTCCCGTTGCACCAGAAGTGGTTTAGTTCTGCTGGCCACATGACCCAGAAAGCTGCCTGTGGACAAACACCAGCTCCCTTGCCCCGAAAGCGAGATGAGCACCGCACTCTCTAGTCACCTTTAACTGTCCGGGGTCCTTTACCTTTATAACTTACCCTGCTGCTTGCTTTAGAGTAAATTAAATGGTTCATTCTTAAATCAGATTCAGTCTGCAATCTTATACATACTTGCCTGCAAGTAAGCCTGTTCCATCAACTAGGTCTGCCATACATTCCTGGGATTTCAAAGGTGGAATTGGTGACCTAGGGGAATTTCTGAAAGGCGGAGCTTTGTCCTGGATCTTAGGCAAGTCATCAAAAATTCTAGTTTTTTGTGGTTTCCTTTAAAAAAGAGCTCAACAATTTTGGGCTTTCCTGGTCTGACTACATTGGCTGCCAATTAGTTTTGGGGCCCAATTCAAAGTGCTGGTTCTGACCTATAAAGCCTTAAACGGCTCAGGACCGCAATACCTCAAGGGCCCGTATGAGTTGTCCTGGACTCTGTGTTCATCCTCTGAGGCCCTTCTTCGTGTGCCTCCTCCACATGAGGTCCAGGGAGTGGCAACACGAGAACGGGGCCTTCTCTTTAGTGGCTCCCTGTTTGAGGAATGCTCTCCTCAGGGAAGTTCAGTTGGCACCTTCATTATATATATTTTAGGCGCCAGGCGAAAACATTCCTCTTCAACCAGACCTTTGCCTGATTAATATTCTATAGCCTTTTAATATGTACCTTTTATAGTGTGTGTGTGTGTGTGTGTGTGTGTGTGTGTGTGTGTATTATTGTTTCACTGTTTTCTTTCAATTATTTACTTGCATTTTTATCTTGCCTTGCATTCTGTGAACCACCCTGGGATCTCGTGATGAAGAGCGGGATATAAATTTAATAGATAAATGAAGTAAAAATCGAACTCAAATGGTCGCAGTCTGCATACATAGAATTGCGCTGTTAGTCCTAGATGAGCAAAGCTGAAATAGCCGCATTGAAATTTGTTGTATTTCTGTTTGATGCATTTGCTCCTCAAAAACATAAGGAATGACTGCCCTGATCCACAGGCCCAGAGGAGGGCAAGTGTGAGTGGTTTGAGCAGGCATGCCGAAGAAGGATGCCAAAAACGACAGAGTGGTCAGTTCCAGTGCTTTATTAGAAGAAACTATAAACTTTCAAAGCATCCTGTGGAGCCTTGCTGCTGTAACAGATTTGGGATGCACACAAAAACATTTTTGTATATTATTTTCAACATTATATGGATTTTTTTAATGCATTTTCTCCTAATAGATACAAACTGCTCCACAAGATCCAAGAACCGCAGATTTCAAAGGACAATGGTGTTTCAGTTTGCATATTGCGTTGAATTAAGATAATTAAAATGCAAACAGAATTAAGCTTATGCCCCCATTCCTGTTTACCATATATGGGATAAAAATTTCAGAAATATAGGGCAAAATGTTGGCAACACTGGGATTTAGGCTAGAACGGTGATCTTACGACTACTGCAGGAGTGCGTTCAAGGATTTAAATTGGGCATGACTTAGTCCTGAAACCTGTTGCCAGCATATGTGAAATAACAGTAAAACAGTAAAAACAGCAGTGCCTCAAAGACATGTAGATAATGCATTTTTTCTTATTGCTAAATAGCCACAGCCTATTCCATTCCCGGGATTAAGTAGAAAGGTTTTTAAGATTCAGAAGGTTCAGTTTCCCACCAGGCGTATGGCTTGGCACACCCTGTGTTGGAAAGAGAAAATAATGACCTTGGACCACACTAATGTCTTATTTACAGCAAATTGCTAAGACAAAAGTTATGTCTCAACAGTTGGAAGAGGATCAAAGCAATTTTCTCTTCAAATTGCTGCTTTAAATGATTGCCCACCCTTAGCACCTTGTAGGGGAAGATTTATAGAAATAGAAACCTTAATGTGATGGCCGGCCTCTTTATTTCCGCTCTGATACTCCACACTGAACAGACATCGGACTGTAGTCTCCAATTCATTTCAATCAGTCGAGTTACTTAACCTTGGAAGGAGTAAAATTCCACATCGCAAAGCGGGGCTCTCGATTCACACCCAGATTTCTAGAATATGCTAAGGGAGGAAGCAGAAATATCTGTCTGCCTGCCTTCCCTCCCTGTGTCAGAATTTTGCCCTGAAAATGGGTGAACAATAGCTCAAGCAAAAAATAACTGAGAACCCAAAGACCATGTGCAGTTTGTAGGCTGAGGTGGGTCGCTACTACCGCTAAAAAGTGCCTTCTTTTTGGTGTCAATCTGATTCATCGGCAGGGTCACTTTTAATTGGAGATGCAAATTAAGACCCATCTCTCTTATTTTGATGTGTCACTGAGCAGAGAATGCAAAGGGAAATAGCAAAGATGGCTTTTTCCTCTTTAAATTACTCAACGTTTGAATATTGCAAGAAAAATGAAGGTGACCTGTGTTGAGCCATTTGGACACAGATCAAGCCAGAGTAGACCATAGCAATGAACTGTTTTGCTTTGAAGAAGAGCAGCACCACCCAATCTCCTCCACTGGATTAATGGAATGTGGTTCACGAAGTTGGCTGAACAGCATGCTTTCTTCAGCCCATGGCTTCCAGCCCTGGGTTACAGCTTCATAACTGGCTCACTTTGCCATTTTACCAGGCCATTGGGGGAAAGGGGTGGGGTGGGGAAGGGAGCTTGGCTGCTGTGGTCAAAATGTGGTCCCTCACCACCAGACCTTGGAACTGGAAGGAGAGCACAAACTGAGGAGGTGGAATTGGCTTTGCATCTGATGGGCACTTGGAACCATGACACAAAGTTCTCCTACACTCACTACGTTGAATAAGATGAGAAATCATGTCCTTCCTAAAAGAGGGCACGTGTTGTGGTGAGACCTGGAGACCCACCTCCTGTGTTGTGGGTGGGTTGGATTGGTTAGCCACAACACCCGATTGGTAGGTCCCTCGATGTTGGGTTCAATCTGGCCAATGGGGTGCAGTGTAAACCGATCGAGGGACCTATATATACCCATGCACGTGACCCAGAGCTTCCTCTTTCGGCTCGTGCATTCGGAACACCCACCCACCTCTCCCTACTTTTAGGGCATTTCCGATTGATCTTGCTATGCCGTCGTGTGTCGTCTGTCTTTGGGACAGGGGCACGGCAGGAATTTCCCCCACTTGGCTGACTGGCTGTTTCCATTTGGGTTTCGCCTGCCGCGTAGCAAATTGTCACAACTTGTAGGGTTGCGGATAGGCTCTGGTTCAGGTAATAGGGATGGGAGAATGCTCTCGCCATCC